GGACTTTAAGGATAAGATGAAGGAAATGAACGAAAGGTGGCAGTTTCCCTTCTGTTGGGCTGCAATTGATGGCTGCCACATACCTATTAAATGTCCACCAGGAGGAGCTGCATCGTGTAAAGAGTACCACAATTTCAAGAACTTCTATTCCGTTGTATTGATGGCTATGGTAGACTCAAAATATAGGTTTATTTGGGGCAGCTGCGGTTTCCCTGGCAACTCCCATGATGCTATCATTTTCCAGGCAACAGAACTCTGGGAAAAGCTAAACGAACACGATTTTATTCCAGACATTGCACATAAGCTTGCTGATGTGAACATTGGTCCACTCATTATTGGGGATTCAGCATTCCCATTTAAACCGTGGCTATTGAAGCCCTACACAAATGCAGTACTCACAGAGAAGCAGAGATACTTTAATTACAGGTTAAGTCGTGCTAGGATGGTCACAGAAGGAGCATATGGGCAACTTAAAGGAAGGTGGAGGATGCTTTTGAGGAAAAACGAGAGTGAACCTTCTCAAGTCAAAACAACAACCCTTGCTTGCATGGTTTTGCATAACATCTGCATTGAAAAGGGTGATAACATCTGCAGCAAGCTAGATATTACTAGCGACCCACTTACAAATGCGAAGAGAGATAGTCGCACATTAAGGGATGTATTAGAGATGACCTGTTGTAGAAAGCTACCAGACTCCAATTCCCAGGCAACTAAAATCAGGAGCACGCTAGCAGATATGTTTTGGAGGGAAAGAGAAGGTTCTGAATTAAAGTGAACGAGTTAAACCAAATATTTCTTGCAACACTTATTGGAGTTTTGTAATGGGCCCATTTAGTTATTTCCACTACGTTTTGTAACAAGGAAGGCTTCTTTTATAATATTAGCCCACCCAAAGTACTGTAAACTGAGTGCTTCAATTTAGAACAGATGAACTTTATATCTTGAAAGAATGTAATGTTCAAAGGGGTTTTAAGTGACCCATGAAGTACATCATGTTTCACATTTCAACACCATAACACAACATTTGAATGCATTCTGCTATTTATATTGATGATAAAATTTCGCACCAAGTGTTTCTAATGAAGTGATAGTATCCATTGTAAAGGGCCCATGATGACACAACTGTTGAGTTTAAGTCAGTACTTGGACTTGCATTGTACAATGTACTTTAAGACGTAGTAGTTAGCAGGTGTCAAGCCTGTAGGTAATACAACTTCTACAATATTAAGAATAAATTTGTTAACACAACTGTTATCGTATTTTAAGTGAACATCAAAAGAAACAGTCTGTCTTTGCAGGTACAGAGCAAACATCAACTAGAAAACATTTATCAAGGACTTGCGCCTCTGCTTTTTGGCAAAATTTTCTCCAAACCATCCAACTAATTTTTACCAGCACTGTCATTGGAAGGTCAACCAGAGCACAAAGACAAACTATAGTGATTAGATACTTCTGTTTCTGAACAACCAGATCCTGGGTAAAGACACTTTTAAAAATGTTGTTTTTCCCTGTTGCAAATGCTAGTAAAATATAGAGTCACAAGCAACAAGGCTTTCTGAGGATTTTCCAGGAATGCCAAGAGTCCCTCTATTTCATGGGTACAACATTAGTTGCATCACTCTGGTGGTACAATTCAAGGGCTAAAAATGAAACAGGAATATGTAATAGACTTACTATAATAATTGAGCACTGCCCAAATTAGGGAATTTTTAGCCAATATTTTTGAGTGAAATTGAAGACTACATACATGTCCCCACCATAATTCAGCAGATTCTTATCAATTTTGTATACAATTATCTCTTTAAACCCTAAGATCAAAATCTAAATCCTCATTTATTGTCCCTATTTATTTCCTATAGAATGTGGAGAAGTTGATAAAATATCAAGCAAGCCCATCTTGAGTGATCATGTCCTTAATAAATTGTCATGACCACTCTGTTTTACAAAGCATTGCTATGATAAGCAGACATTTGATGCAGATCACTCCTAGGGCTTAAAGGGTTAATTAGAATTTCAACATCAAGTAATTGCATAAGTGTACACCTGCTTCACTTTCAACCCTTCATTTAAAAGTCAATAAACTCAACAAGACCATAGTTGGTGGAAACTTCAAGAAAACCAAAAATTTTGGTAGTTTAAGTCTCCAGGATGAACAGAACTTGACATCTGATTACCATACTGCCTACTGTCACTTCCATTTAGTCCATGAAAGTTGGCCGCTGCTGTAGCTCTTTCTTGTAGGGTTGGTTGAACTTGCTGTGTGGGCATAGCTTGCAGAAGCATCTGTAGCATGTTTAGTTCATGTTCACGAGACTTTTGAGCCTGATCACTCATGTACGAAAGGACTTCTTTCACCGGATCATTGTTGATGGCAGTCTTGATTAGGTCAATTGCTTCATGTAAAGACTCATCTGTCTTTCTCTTCCTTCTCCTTGGAGCCACAACTCTCTCTTTGCTTTCAGATGAGGATGTGCCAGGTGATGCTTCAGCAGCACTAGCTTCTGAATCTGGTAAACATGGTGATTGTGTACGAACAAATGAAGGCTCTACTGCAAGTTCAGGTCTGCATGCATCCCGAGTTTTGACAATGGCAAATAGGCTGTTAAACCATGGACCATAGCCTTTTTCGTCAATAAATCTCTTTATTCCTGTGCTAGTCTTCATGGTGAGAGAAGTCTTCTTGCATTCAGCAATGGCTTTCTTGAACTTTGTTCGCAACTGAACATGATCAAATGGAACTTCTTCATTTCTCACAGCAGCCCTTTCCTTAAGTTCGACCAGAACCTTTTTGTATATTTCTCCATTTTTCTGGTTTTTAGTGTTGGTAAGTATCAATTTATTCCTGTAATAATCATTAGATATTACAATGTCCACCAAATCCCCTAATAGACTTTGACTCCATCTGGCCTTCCTTCCACTTTTATTCTTAGAACATTTTTGGCTTTTCCTCTTTTTTTCAAACAGGCCCCGGCTGAGACTTTCATCCTCATCATCTTCATCATCATCATCACTATCAACAGCACTGAGGAAAATAAACAAAAGTTTTAAATATTGCAGCACTAAATTCTTACATGTCTTAATGTAAACCCATGAAAACCAAAAAAATTGCTTCAAAAGTTGCACTTGTATTTGTCTGCCTAGAGGTCATATTTTTTATTGCTGTGATTATTGTAAAAACCATCTATTCAAATTAAAACCATTCAAAAGGAACCCTGCTTAAATTTAAACCCTCACGAATCGAAGGTGCTAAGACTCTATCAAGCTTGGGGATCACACACAGGCAAAGGAGAGGCATACATGCAGCCTTTGTGGCCTAGCAGTTAGAACTCTAGACCGTTGCAAGCTAGAGGTACTTGGATCAAATCCACCAAATTCTAGCTTTGCTATTTTTTCTTTCTTTTTTTATCTGACCAAAGTCTCTCTTCACATTTTTCTTTTTTTTTTTTAAGTTTAAAATTTGCATCAATGCCTACCACCTTTCATACATGGTGAATATTGTTGATGGAACAATGCCATACAAATGACAATACGCAGTCAGAAATCCTTTCAAAATAGATTCATAAATATGGGGCTAATGAATCTGTGCTAAGCAATAAGCACACAATAAAAATATTAAAGACATTCAATGACTAATTTGTGTCCTCAACTGAAATCTTCAGCGCCCTGCATTTCCCTGAGCTCCATGAGGTCCTGTGAGACACTCACGTTTTCAGTAATAAACATTGGAAGTTTTCTACCAGAATCCAGTGTAGATGAACTAGATCACTCATTAACTGAGACTGAAATATATGTTGTGTTACCATTTTATCATTGGTTTAGATTTTCTTTTCTTTTGTTTTTGTGTATGTTTTTTTATGTATGATAATGAGCTGGAAACAAAGAAAAATAAATTTGAAACCCAAAGAACAACATAAATTCCGATTATAGTGGGAAAATCACAAACCAAAGTGATGACAAGTAGATGGATTCAAAGTTGTTGTTCCCTGCATGCTGGCACTGATACTAGATGTACAAAAAATGTACACTTCTCTAATAAGAAATGCCACATGACTGCTTCCAGGGCACATGCCAAACAAGTAATTCATGTCACTGTAATCCAAGTTAACATTATGGCTGTTGTGGTTCAGTTTTCTTCTTGGTTTAAATTTTACTTTCCTTTGGTTCAAACTCATTATCATACATTACCATACCCCAAAACAAAGGAAAATAAAATTTAAACCAAGGAAAAAATTGAACCACAACATGGCCACTATTATTGACCTTCCACAGAGGGATAAATATAAACATTAACACAAGCAATTTGCAGTTTCAAATTTTTTAATTATACCCTTCTGTTGATCAATTTTTATCACCTAACTTGCACTTATGCTTACTTTAAAGCAACAAAGGAAACCTTGAATGCTGGAATTCCTTCGGCGATGATTTTGTTGTGTTGGAAATGAGAATCATCGAATCAATCACGCATGAGATAAACTGCAAACATAACTACATCGGGTGTTTACATTTCTGGTTTGTGACAGCTTCTTGCTGATTATCACTTTTATCAGCGAAAGAAGATTACCTTTCCTTTTCACTGTGGACTTCATCTGCCGCATCTTCCTTTCCTTCAACTTCTTCATAACTGTGCCTACTTGCGATCGGCGACTCGGTTACGGGCCTTACAGTTTCGCACTCAAAACAGTAGCCGACACTCTTCCCACCTATCCACCCGTCCACGCTTTCATCCATCTCTGGCTCGCTACATAAGTTGCAAATGGCTACCTTGCAGCGAATGCAGCGATATTTGGTCCATCTTTTGCACTGTTTACAGCTCTCTCCATCTTTTGCCGCCATTTTCCCTTCCTAGTAAAACTTACGAGCATGCGTAACAAGTTCTCCGAGGGACTTATGGGAAGATTTATAAATTATCATAATGTATGCATTTGATTCGGCACATGAGAAGAACGCCGTATGAATCACCTGCCGCTCCAATGTCGAATAATGCGACAGACCCTGTCGAACTTAACGTTTTTGCCGCACCAGATTAAAACTGCCGTACCAAACTGATTCAGACGCCGCTCTTTTGCCGTACCTAATTCCTCAGTTAGGTTCGGCACATGAGTGGAGCGGCGTCTGAACCGGGCCTAACTAGCCTCCCCGCAGACGTCCTTTGGGGTTCGTTTGTCACGCATTCATTATTACGAACTCCAAAGGACGTCTGCGGGGAGGCTAGGGCCTAACATGACGTAAGTCTCAGCTTAGTGGTTTGCAGGTTGTTATTAAGTTGAGGGTTAAATTTAAGGTCGTTTGACGGCTGACAGTTGACCCAATTAAGACCCTCTAAGATTAGATTAAATCTATTTAGATTATGTAGTTACATCTTCCATTTTATATGGCTTAGTATCATTTATTTTATTGTATTTATTTTTTAGTATTTTTGAGGACCACAAGTTTATTAGCTTTGGCTATTTAGGGTTCGAAACTCTCTTTAAATAGATTGCTTTCAAGTGTATGTGTCTACGTGTGTTTTGATCAGTTATATTTTATCTGCAATTGCTTATTGTATGTTATCTTTTTTGTTTCTCTGTATTAGCATTTTTTTGGTTGTATCCACTTAATTAGGAATTCATTATATTTTTCCATCTATTAGGGCAATGTATTAGTTTTACTTTTTTTGTCCTTTTTCTCTTAAGTTATTTCTTAATGAACTATTCGTTTCTGTAAAGTAGTTTAACCTATTGAGAAATAAAACACTACTACTACTTACTGCTTACCCTCTTTAAATAAAGAGAGCGTTTTCGAATCGTTGCGTTTTCGATGAAAACTGTGGACGGAAGGCCTAAACGTATCAAAATGTGCAGGCGTTTTCGTTTTGACCTACTTTCAAGAGCGTTTTCAAAACGCGCGATGCTTTCTCGATGAAAACTCTCAGCTCATAAATGTGGTAAGAAGGCCCAAACGCACCGACGACATGTATGCGTTTTCCAACGAAAACGCTTTTGTGTTGACGGGGCCTAAAATAAAGCGCCTCAAAAATATGCAAGCAGCGAAACAAACAACATACAAATTCTCGTTGCATGATAGTATTTTTTAAAAAGATGTAGGAAACTATGATTTAAAATGAAATTAAATGTACAGATATATGTTGTAATACGTTATCCTTTGTACACTTTGTACACTATCATTTCGCGCAAAGACAAGGCAATTAAATCATAAGATTAAGCTACAACATATAAACCTAGTAATCTTTCTTTGCAAATGTCCTTAAAGTAATAAGATCTTTCTAGTAATCTTTCGTCGTCATGAGTATGATCTGTATACTTCAATGAAGAGTCCAAAACGCGGTTACAAATTTGCAAGAGACGGGTCATGCCAAGTACGCTGAAAGGTACGTTTTTTTTTGCTTATTTGGAGCATAAAAAACGTGGTTGATGTCCTCTGTTTTGGCTGAAAAATTTTGCGCAAAATAGATTTTCAGTGGCTATTGTATTATGGTACAAGTATAACCCGCGGGCGCAGGATTGGTCTATTCGTTTTCGCCTCAGCATTCAACATTCCAGGAACATGCGCGGCTCGAATTCCGCGGCTTCTCTTCTTTCAAAACGTCTCTAATCTGTGACATACAGACTAAACAACCATTCACCCCGCATACTTTCATATCAGTCAATTTTGCTACTAGGTAACTCGAACAAATCAAGCTCGAAATAATGAATATTTTTCAGTTGACTTGCTGCAATCTGTCAAGAAACTTAGACGCTTCCCAGTAAGCTGAGCCAAGGTAACTTTCCACTGAAAAGTCAAATTCTTGAAGATTCGACGCAGTAAAGCCAGTTACAGGGGTCGGACCTGATCTTGGTGTCTGAAGCGGTGAAGAAAACAAGTGTCCAGCTGAAGTGTTAGCTTTTTCGTTACAAACCCACTCCATCACCTGGAAAAGAAATAAACGAGTTAGTTTCTCAAGAAACTTTACAAAGTGGCCACCCAACCTTGTTCATGGCGCTTTACCCTAGCGAAGGGAAAAGCGCCCTGAAAAGCTAATGCTTCGAGCGCTAACGCTTCACGAGGCTGAGTTCTTCAGATGAAAGGTTCAAACCCCAAGCCGTTTGAGCCTTCTCCAGTTTAATAATACGCTTGAATGTCTCTAAACAGCTTCACTCTCCAATGCTCAATGTTCAACCCTCTTTAACTTCTATCTAATAAGACGCAACAATCCGGCAGGCATATGGACTTCTTTTTTTGCTTTCGCGCCTTTAGTCATCTCGGATAACGGATAGTCCCTTTACACAGACCCCTATGGAAAAGCCTTACCCTGGTTACCAGAGTTTCTACTCGCATACGGTGGACACGTCAATTCACTAAAGACTTGAACAAAACTGGAAACTACGCATAAACTACACATGTTTCTGACACCAAGGGTAGAGTAGCCCGCGTTTCGGACGGAATTCACCATTACGCTTGTGAAAATTATCCACTAAGAATAACGTCAAAGATAGCCTGGAAAAAACAGCCGATTTTTCAGGAAGCCATCACTATTTCCTCGCGAAATGACGTCTGAGGAGAGAGCGCAGAAATTCCACACTGTTGACTGGTCACTACCTCTGAGTAGTGCTTCTGATTGGTCGCACCGCAAGGGAAATTTGCTTTAACCAATCATAAACACTACCTGGTCTGGGTTGTGAAACGTCATCAGTATAGATTTCTGCGCTCGTTCCTCATTCTTCAGTTCGCAAGGTACATGTGTCCAGTGGTGGGGTCGCGAAATGTCGGCTGTTCTCTAATGCTAAGTCTGTGACGCAGGTAATCCCTAATGTCGGCGGAGAAGAGGTCTTAATTGCAAAAGTGCGCGCTCAAAAAGAAGAGTATATCTTTACTGACCTTTGGATTGGCTTTTGTCTGGTTGTTGTTTAATTCTTTGTCATCATGTTTTTCAAGCAGTTCCTTCAATGATTCAATTTGCGCCAACAGCTCCTGTCTCTCGTTCACTAAATCTTGCACTGCTTCTGGTTGCAAGTTGTTTTGTATTTTAACATCATGTTCTTTTGATCTTAACCGCGTTTGTAAAACAAGCAGCTGTTCCTTTATACGCTGATTTTCCTCTGCATATCGTTGCGCCTCGAGAGATGAACTTGGCGAAGCCATTAAAGAAGACTCTGGTAATGACTCCACATTCAGTTGATTCCCAGTCTCGCTGCGAATAAATTCGCTGACAAAAGCCGGGGGCTGAGTGTTGCTTTTAGGTGTTGAGGTCACAGGAGTTCGTCCTTTTAACCTTCCAACTTCCTCTTCTAATTTATCAACCTGAGACTGTAAACGTTTACCTTGCTTTAACAAGAAGTCGTTTTCTTCCCGTAGTTTTGAATTTTCTTGTTCGATTCTTACTTGATTTTCCTTTGATTCTCGCAATTGATTCTTCAAAGTCATATTATCTGATAAACTTTCTTTTTCCTGACTTTCTTCTTCTTGTTTCTCCCTCTCACTCAATGCTTCTTTGAGAAATCTATTTTCTATCTCAAGATTTTCCTTGTCTTGGATCAATTTTTCATTCTCCTTTTCAATACTGGGCAAATCAACTCCTTCTCTGTGACCCGATTTTCTCAAGCTTTCCGTTTCGAGATAAAGAACTTGATTTTGCCTTCTAAGAACTTCATTTGCTCGCTTCAGAGCTTGAATTTCGCTTTTTTTTTTGTTAATATCGCGTTGTAGAATTTCTAACTCGTCCTCTAATCTAACCTGTTCTTTCATCGAAGAGCAAAGCTGTTCCTTTGTTTGATTCAGATCATCAGGTTCAAGAAGGCTTGTTTGTAATCCCATTTCGATTCTCGGAGTGAGGAGAACTTCATCGTACTTCTCCTTTTCCTCTTTGTGTTTTTGCTTTAGAGCTAAAAACTTTTCTTTTAATTTGTTATACTTTTCTTGCAATTTGTTCAGTTCGTCCTTACATGTCTCTATTTCGCCCGTCAACTTTCCCTTGTCCATCTCCGACTCAGTCAACGATCTACTAAGTTTCTCAACTTCTTCATGTTCTTCTGACTGCGCTTTCTCACTTTGAGAAACATAACGGGAAAACTTTTCTTTTTCTTTTATGAGCTCACCTCTAAGCTCGTTATTGTGGCTTTTAAGATCAGAGATGACTCTCTCTGATTTGATTTTCTCTTGTTCCGCTTGATGCATATGCGTTAGGTGCTTTTCCGTTTCTAACAACACTCTTTCTCGCCCTTTCTGCTCTGTGTCAAGTACAGTGAATAACTTTGACATTTCCTCTGTTTTTCGCTTCACCTCCTCTTCTAACGCTTTAATCTTCCTAGCACTTCCTTCATCTGCTTTCATGTGTTCAGCCAGGATGTTCTTTTCATATTGCTTCTGTGTCTTTTCTAGCTGATCACGTTCAAACTTACTTCTTGACAATTCCTCAGATTGCATTCGATTGGTGTGTTGAACACTTTCCAACTGGGACTTCAAAGCTGCATTTTCTTTCGTTATTTTCTTAAGTTCTTGCTTCTGCGATTTCTGAGCTTCGCTAATTTTGAGTTGCTCTGCCGTTAAATTGGCCTCATGGGCTACCTGCTGCTGCTGAAAATCTTCAAGCATTTGTTTAAGTTCCTCTTTTTCTTTTTGTTTAGTTTCATTGAGTTTATGCGCTGTATCTAATTCAGCTTTGAGACCGACCACCGTTTTAGCGTGTTCTTCGTTTACTTTAAGTTGTTCAGCTGTTAGATTAGCTTCATGTGTTAATTTCTGTTGCTTAAATGTGTCAAGCTCTAGTTTTAGCTCATTTATCTGATTTTTTTGTTCTTCATTCAATTTGCGCTGTGCTTCCAAATCAGCTTTTAGAACCTGGACCGTCTTCGCATGCACTTCTTTAGCTGTCAGCTGTTCTGCAGTGGAGCTGGCGTCCTTTGCCTTTTGTTGTCTTCGATATTCTTCAATCTCATAATTAAGCTTTGTTATTTCTCTCTCTTGCGCTTCATTTGTGTGCCAAGCTTTCTCAAGTTGTGACTTGACATCGTTGAGTTTCTCTGCTTTCTCATTGTTCGCCTGAAGTGTAGTTTCTAAGTCGGCCTCGAGAGTCTTGATTGTCTTAGAAAATTCTTTCTCTACAACTTCCTGATTGGATAATTTCTTTGCTTCATTATCCTTCTCACTAACATGCAACTGTTCTTTTAAGTTCTTTACCTCTTCGTCGTGTCTTTCCTGCATTTTAATCATGCGATCCTGTGAATTTTTAACAGAAAGTCTTTCCTCCTCAAGGGTTTGGCGCAACGTTTCAATCTCATAATTAGTAGACTCGATTCTTCTAGTGTTAGAGGCGGATTTACTTCTTTCGGCTTCCAGTTCTGCCTGCAACTTCTCAATTTTTTCTTCATAGTCTTCTGCAAGTCCCTTCATCTGTTGTTCGTATTCTAAACCCAAGTTCGAACCAGGGTTTCCCGCAAAATTGTCGTTGACCGCTTGCGCAGAAACAATTGGTTCTATTTCCTGTGAATAACGAAGAGTTTGTAATTCTTCTCGCAGGTCTTCTTTCTCGATCTCAGACTGCGTTTGATAATTCTCAAGGCTTTCAGTTTTCGCATAGAGTTTTTTAATTGTCTCTTCGTACCGTGAAACTTTTTTGCTGGTTTCCTCTTCATCTTCCAGTCCCCTTTTCCGTAGTTGTTGTATCTCTTGCACCAAAGCATCCTTTTCTTTTCTGTACTTTTGGCAATCAGCGTCGAGTACTTTGATATTTTCATTGAGCCTTAGGATGATTTCGTCAGACTTCTTCTTGTGCGCGTCAACAGCTGCAACTTTATCCTCTTTCTCTTTTTCGATGCTTTCCCTGAGTTTAGACATCTTCATTTCACCTTCTTTCAATTGCTTCTCCATTGTATTTTCTAGGTTTCGTTTTTCAGCTTCCAGCTTAGCTATCGTATCTTGCATAGTTGTAAACTCATCGATAGACCTCTCTTTTGTGGTTTTCAACTCTTCATTGAGATTCTGGAGCTGTAACTCGTAGTTCATAACCTCGGAAGCAAGCTTCTTATTTGTTTGACTCAATTCAGTAATCTCTTTCTGTAGATTCTCCGCAGTTGTTTTGTACTCTTCCAGTTTAGCCTCAGAGTTCATCTTTGCCTCAATCGCGCCTTCAAGCTGCTTTTCAAGTCCAGATATTTTTTGCAAGCGTTCTTCTTGCTCAGAATTTTGCTCAAGTGTATTCTTGCTACGTGTTAACTGTCTTTCAAGATCTGAAACTTTAGTTTTGTATTCTTCAAGCTCTGCCTCAGTATTCTGGCTTTCTTCCCTTAAAACATCCAGTTCATATTCAAGTTCAGCAGTTCTTGTATGCAAATCCGTATCTGCCTCGGTTCTTCCTTCCACGCCTCGCAGTCTTTCCACTTCGCCTTCAAGCTCGGCGACTTTTTGTTTGTACCATTCTATATCCTCTCCTAACAACCTTATTTGTTCCTCTTGATTTCCTTTTATTATCTCAATTTGTTCCCTCAGCACATGAGAGGTCTTTCGCTTTACCCCCTGATTGCCGTCATTCTTGGTGGTCTCCAATTCGCTGGAAAGATCCCCTACCACTAAATCGAATTCCCTCTTCAGATTTTCATTCTCGGATTGAAGAGTTTCCAAAGTTTCGTAAAGTTTTTCAAGTTCCCTTTCGTGTCCCCTTTTTATTGATTTGATTTCCAGCCGAAGTTCTTCTGATGTTCTCTTTTCTTCATCAAGTTCTTTTCCTTCAATATGACTCCTCTCCGCTGCTTGCAAACGTTGTTCATAATCGGAGACAACCTTGTCGACTTTCATTTGATGCTCTTCGTTGAGTTCGTCTCGAAGTTTTTCTTCTCTTTCTTCAGATTCTTTTTCTTGCTCTGAAAGCATACCTTCCAATAATTCACGCGACTCGATAAATTCGTTTCGTTCCTTTTGAAGATTCTCTTTGAGCTCCCTTATCTCAATTTCATATTCTTCGAGTTTCTTGTGCATGGCTTTGCCGGCGATAACTTGATCCTCGTGACTCTGAGAACTGACTAACAATTCTTCCTTTTCTCTCTTAAATGCTTGCTCCAGTTGTTCAATGTCTTCGTGGTGTTTAGTAATCACGTCCTCGGCTTGAGTTTTGAGTTCTGTTATGGTTTTCTTCAGCACTTCTTTTTCGCTGTCAAATTCACCCTTTGCTTCTTCTAACTGAGTTTCAAACTCGTTTTTCATAATCAGTAAATCCTGAGCCATTTGGTTATCGCTTTCTTCCAGCTGACTGCTCAAATTTGCAACCTGATCTTGTAACTGTTGAATCTGGTTTTCGTAATGCTCTTTTTGTGACGCGTCCATGGAAACATTATGGCTTATTTCGATATGATTGGTCTTTTTACTGTTCAGTTCATCGATCTCCTCTTGATGCGCCCTCAAAAGCGCCTTTTTCTCTTGTTCAAACGCAATCTTAAGCTCGCTTAAGCTCTCTTGGAACTCAAACTCTTGATTCTCTACCTTTTCGACCGCTTCGGATGCCTTCATAATTTGAGTTTGCAGCTTTTCCTTAAGAACTGTAATCTCGTCTTCATAATTACTCTGTAGTGCTGCCATTTGCTCTTTCAAAGCCTCGACTTCAGGTGAATGATCACGAGATCCAACGTCACTGGAATCGTAATCAGATTCCTTCTTTAATTCCGCCACTCGTTTCCAGCGCTCTTCCCTGAGTTTTAAATCCTCCATCTCCTTCCTCAACATTTCCAGCTCGATTTCGTGTTCACTGTTCATTTCTTCAAGCTCTTTCTTCAGTTCCCTGGTTTCCTGTCTGTGGCGTCCCTCCATCTCCTGTATGTATCTGTCTTTTTTCTGGAGTGTTTCTTGAAGAGCGTCTTGATCTTCGGTTACCTGGCAAATGAAGTATGTTTTAGTTCTCCAATACTCAGACTTAAGGAGTATGGAAGGACAAGAATAAAACAAAAGACAATAAAAAATGGGGACGAACGTCCACCTCCATACCCTGGAGTTCTTAACGTTACGTAGCGAACCTTCGCACCAAAGGTCAGTGGCAAACGATCGGCGATCGAGGCACGTAATGTAGCAGTTATGCAGTAGGAAGTGCGAGAAGGGCCCTTCCCAGGGGTAGTGATAACATTGGGGCAAGCCTTGAACTGTCAGAGACTAGAAACTGTACAGCTTCTCGCATATGTAAAGAATGGATACATCGCGTACCTGGCGAAGCGAGTACATTTTACAGTTCAACCACCCGCCCAGGTTGGAAAAAAACTCCCAAACAGACTTTCCTCTCTGTCCTAAACAGGGAAGATCATTTCGAGAAAGTCTGTCTTAATTGTGACAAGGGTATTGCTTGCACGATTGAGTTGATTTGTTTGATGAAATTTGTTTGTGCTCCAAGTATACAAAAGCAACGACTATAACGTCAATTTTCTCCATCGCAATTGCCAACAAATGGCTTTAAAACAAGACGGGGTGCATTTTGCCCTTTGTCCTAAACAGGGTAATAAAATTGAGGGTGTTGTCCTAAAAAGGGTATGTATTTTAGGAATTTTTTGTCCTCAACATGGTCAGGCTTTCAAACCCTCAGCGGCTCACCTCTATGTTGAACTCTCCGGACGCGCGGGACACGAGTTAGTTACACATCAGCTCTCCTATCGATCCAATCTGTTCTAAGTTTTTGTCATGAAAATTCGCCTTAATTATAGAAATGTATCTTGTTAATCGATCTTCCTCTAATTGCTTTGATCTTATTACTTGATAAGAAAATGGTCAAAGCCCAGAACCGGTCAACCTCTTCGCCTCCCCAGGCAGACTCAAGCTGACTCAGCTAGACTCCACTGGCACAATTCAGTTAAAAAGATGCTGTTAAAATTTTAGCGCCATAAAGAGTACCTACCTGTTGCAGGTCAAACGAACTTTTGCTTCTGATCATTTCATGCTCTTCGATTAAACTTTCGCATTCCTCGGACTTCCGCGATAATTTGTCACTGATATCACGGAGCGTGTCATCCTTCTCTTGCACTTGCCTCTCTAGGTTCATCACCATCTCTGTTAATATTTTGGGGTCTTTTGGGAGTTCTGGGTTTGAATTAGTTCTTCCATTTGTCTGCGCAACAAAGAGAAAACAGTTTATATACCGTACTATCTCGGTGACAATAGCACTGAAATACAAGACAGAGACAAGAATTGCTGATTTTTTGGTTGGGTTTTTATATTTTCTAATTTTCACCACATTTCGACTGGAGTGACGAATTGATATTGTTTGTTGTGAATATTTTAGACAAAATCTCATTCATAAGCAAGTTGTATGCCGTCATCTGTTTACCCTGAAAAATAGCAAGTCTTACTGGTAATGATATCCCTAAAGGCTAAACATTTAATATCTAATTAACATTGAGAATTAACAACCTGTTATACTTTTTTTTTCCCATCACTGAATAAATAAAGAAGTAGGGGGAACACGTGACGTAGTCTCCCTGAGTGCTCTAGCTGCTTCTTAAGTGCTTTACAACAGATAACATTGTATAGTATACAGATTTAGCCACGGCTAAAAGTAAAGCTCTGGTTAATATACTTAGAAACTAAAAAGTAGGACCGTGTAATGAGAACGGAATCAAAATCAATAAATCTAATTAGCGAAAAAACAAATTGGCACGTACAGCACACTTTTTTTTGTACATTTTTTTGCCGTTGTTTTGCACGACTTAAACGTAAAACTTCCTAGTTACTTATTATTTTTAAGGTGGAATTGTCGTGTGCGCTCACCAAAAATTTTGTTACTTGGTTCCTGTTCACTTTTATTCTTTCACAGCCGCTCATTTTCACATTGCTAGCCGTTAGCATTCCTCATTTTCGCTATGAAATGTTCACGTTTTTCTTCCAACGAATTCGTATCCTTTGTTTTCAATCACTCACGTGAGTATAGACATCCGAAATTACGTCGAAAAATTCTCGACCTTGTGGTTATTTTTCCCCTAAACGTGAGGGTGGCCATGCGATTTCCTGCCAAATGAAATCTTTTGTTGCATTTGGGTTGCCATATCTGTTAATTGAGTTGTTTTACATTGGTGTGCCTGTGGTGCGGACGGATGGGCGATCGGGCGGGCGGACGTACTGTCACGTGACTATCAAAATTTCTTGGATGCATAGGTAACCAAATTTCCTTACCCATGATGCTTCGCTGCGAGGGCTCCGCTATAATGATGTGAATGATACTCGCGTTGTGATTGGTCGTTGCCCATGTGTATTAGATATCAGATACGTGGATGACGTCACGGGAAACTTGTTTTCTTTGTTTTGTTCAACATGACGCGCGGGTTTGAAAATGTTTGTGTGATTATTTCGGATTAAGAAAGTTAAAGCCTTGAAAAACGTTTAGCAGGAGCTATTTACAAAGACGAAAAATAGAAAAACGAAGACAAATAGAGTTTTCTGACAACTTGAGAATGCCTAAACTGCAAGAAAACTTCACAACACAGTTGTCATCGTGAATCATCGCTACGAGAGACTCGCTTTTTTACAAAATGTTTTCGCCATTATTCTGCTTTGAGCAAGTGAAGACGTAAAAAAAACTTTTCGAAGAAGCTGTTTACAAGTAAGACAAAAAAAATAAAAGAAGAGGTAGAGACGAAAAGTAGCATTTGGGACTTTAAAATGCCTAATACGCTAGCAAATCCTCGAACAGTCAAGCGGTACGAGACAGGTATGTGTTTGGGTCTGTTCAGTAATAGATCGCAGAAGACGTCAAAATGTGGTAAACACATCAGTGACACACTCACCTAGCCTGCGGCTCGTTTGCCACTTCTTTGTTTTTAAAACATTTTGACGTCATCTCTGATCTATTACTAAACAGACCCACGGCAACATGGAATTTATTTGTTAAACAGAACACAGTGAAAGCTTCTTTAATTGTCTTATGATAAAGAATCCGTTAAATTCCCCCACGCGTTACTTTCTGTTATTTTCAAAACAAACTATTGCCAGATGGCGTGACAGCTTTACACTCTCATAAAGCACGCTTTTTCAACCAATCAGAGTGTGCGTTATATTTGAACTTCCACTGCGTGACAGTATTAATAGATTGCGTGATTTTAGTTAGGAATGTCGAGTTTCAAAGGTAGAAACCCGGGGGGGTACTCCCTTATAAGGGCTTAATGGGGACGTGCGGCCTGCCAGGGTATGTTTGTCTGGATTTTTGTCTTAATCCGGGTATCGATTTTATCAATTTTTGTCTTAAACGAGGTATCTTTTCTTGGACGATAAACAGCCTGCGCGTATGTTCTATGAACTAAACTACGAGTCTGTTGATCAAGATGTAAACAGTTTTGTGATTGCCAATGGATTAAATAAGGAAGAGTTTCGATATTTATTACCGTCTTACAAATCAACGACCGAAATACATTATTTACACATTACAATATCCATGATAAAGTCTGTTTTCTTTTTAACAATAGTGATTCACATATCAGCAGGCTAGCTGCTAATTTCATCTTTCAAGCATTTGAAAGACGAAAGAAACATAGTTAATTCTACCGTTCATCATATCTGCATTTCCTTAAACTTAGCTGTTTATTATTGTTATTTTACCTGTACAAAATGGTAATACTGAATAAACTTGTTGTTGTTGTTGTTGTTGTTGTTGTTGTCTTACACAGGGTATGGTTTCGGGTCAAATGTCTTAAACAGGGTATCAAAAATCGGAATCTGTCTAAACAGGGTAGGAAAATCAGCGATTTTTGTCTTAAACAGGGTCAGGGTATGAGGGGCCGGGCCGCACTTCCCCACCCAAGGATATATCGAGTACCCCCGCCCCCCGGGGGTAGAAACAAGCGGTTGCACCCAGTAAGTTACGGAAACGAGAACGCCGCTAAAACAGACAAATGTTTTCCTCCCTATACTGACAAAATTTACACTAGTAAGAAGAGCCTGCCAAAACATGTCAACGTTTGTCGGGGCGCTGAGGGTTTCATGCTAGCAATCGTATTGCGTGACTCCATGGATGCAGATTTAATAATCGAGAAAGATATTCACCAAGACTATTAAAAGCGATCGCTTTTGATCTTTTGCCTGTGTTTCCCGATTTTCTAGATTGAAAACATAACAAACACTCTGGTTAGCTTCTGGTTGTGCTATTAATCGATCACGATTTTAAGTTTTAATGAACAACACATTCCCAATCAAAAAGGCTGTACGCGATATACCTTGAACGCTCTGGAAGATAAATGGTCGATAATAGGTTCTCTAGATAGTATGCTCGTTTTATAACTAACAAGGGATTCATTATAGATCAACTGTAAAAGATCAGAGGACGAAGTTCCCTCTATATAAAAACAATCGATCCTAGCTCTCCTCAGTTCCCTAGTCTCAAACTAAACAAACCGACAAATTCTCGCCAAAAGTTTTCTAACTTATCTGGCGGCAAAAACTTAAATTGGCTCGCTTGGACAACCGAAGAAACATATATCAAAAAGGTTCCAAAATTTCCTTACCAACGGAACTTTCGAATATTTGCTTTGAGATCACAATCGTCTGTTGTCAAGAGCAAATCAGAGAAGCTCGCATTTTCCCGTTACAGCTTGATCACTATTTTAATCACCATAAAATCCGAGTTTGTTAAGTTTTGATAAAGCGAATTAAGGAGCTGTATCACAAAGGCAAGCTTGGTAGTTACATGTAAAATAATGGCTTGTTTTCTAACCTTGGAAGCTACAGGTATTCCTGAACTAGTACCGGCTTGCGTCGAGCGTCCGGTCGAGGTCGGTTGAGCATTTCTCTTCATTGGAATGCCACTTTTAATACCTGGTACGGGAATGGAAGATCGAGCCTTTCCAAACATCTTCCTACGCTTGTAGCCTGAGGAAACTTCAGTTATTTTCAAATCAAAACCAATATGTGACTTCTAAGACATCCATTTCAACCACTTGATGATCAGATTGCGTGAATATCAACTTACACGCGAAGGACGCGGGGGCTGTTGCCAAGTCAATTAGACGCCTGATTAGTATTCAAAAGTTATTGTGCGGGTTTGAGTTCCTTGTCTTTCAAAGTAACGTATTCAAATTAGGTTTACTTTTTGTAGCTACTGCGCATAGTCGAGTTGCTACAATGCATAGAGTCGATTTTACGAGGACTTTCAGTGTCACAGTGATATGTGTATCCCCGTGATATGTGTATCCCCATACACATATCCCTAGTGATATGTGTATCCCGGGTGGGGAAACAATAAACACTGATGCTCATCCACGACACAATAAGGAAATATCTTCTCTTGCTAAAGGAAATGTCGTCGATATCATCTAACATAACTAGTAACACAACTAGGGTTAAGACAGGAATCAAACAACATGCAAAGGTGGAATATTGTAGCGCTCGCAGAAGGGATACACATATCACTGACCCGGCGCAGAGAATATGTGTATCCCCTGTTTTTTCTTCTCTTGCTAAAGAAAATATCGTCCATATAATCTATCAGAACAACTAGTAATACAACTAGGTTTACAGGAATCAAACAACTTGAAAGGTGGATTATTATAGTGCTTGCACGGGGGGATACACATATCACTGGACCAGCGCAGAGCCGTATGTGTATCCCTTCTCATGATTTTTTGACTTTTCGAGTTATCCCTTGCTGAATGAAATTTTGTCAGTCATACTTATTTAACGCGACTAGTGACATATGAATTATAAACACGTTGGATAAGGAGAGGAGCCCGGGGGGGTACTCCCATATATTACCTATACGGGTATGTGCCGCCCAAAGGGGTCGTGATTTTGAAGCTCCTGATTTAGAACGGGGTACCCATTTCAGAGGCGTTTTCTAGAACGGGGTATAATATTTCGAACGCACGAAAGCTCCAGTTTTGTAAGCAGCCATTTGAAATTATTCAAGGACAGATTGCTTTAAATACGGTTCAATGCGTTAACAAGCAAACGGTTGTACTCTTTGCACCCTAGAACGGAGTAAAAAAAAATTGGCCCATTTCTAGAACGGGGTATCAGTTTTAGGGCGAATTCTAGAACGGGGTATTAATTTTAGGGGAAATTTTTTTTAGAACGGGGTGCCAATTTGGAGTCCCGGGCGGTACATACCCACCCAAAAAATACCCAAGTGCCCCCCCGGGGAGAGAAGCGAGAACGAATATCAACATTGCGGCCCACGAAGAAGTAAACTCGCCAGAGACAGCTTTGCGATTATTTTGTCTCGAATCGTTACTCTTTTGTCGATTGTGTTGCTCGTAATCTTGAATCATTTGTAGTCCCTCTGACGATGATTCGCAAAATTCACAAAAAAAACGGAACTAAAACCGACACTTGGTTGGAGGGGTGGGGGGTAGGGGATACACATTTCACTGGCAGCCATATTGGAGGGATACACATATCACTAGGGATACGTGTACGGGGATACACATATCACGGGGATACACATATCACTGTGACATCGGAGACCTTCGGATCACGATCGATTTTCTTGGCGCACGATAATGCCGGAAGTAAATTTGATAAGCATCCAATTTCGATAGACTTTATAGGTTATAAAAACACAAACAAACTTATTGTTTAGAGCTTTTCTTACTTTGAATCTGGTAGTACGTATTTTCGTGTCAAATACATAAATACTAGTGTAACAAGCTGATTCACCGACCACTTTCCGTAAAAGTGCGATCTCTTTCCGTAAAAATATCGACTGTGAAACGTTTCGCAACATTGCATTTCTCCTCGTGTTCCCTACCGCGAGTGGTAAATGCTCTACGTCTTGTCGACAAAAGGTAAGATTTGCCATGTTTTCTTGTTATTTTCTGCGTATTATTAGGCAAAGCATTCAAGTATTATGTCCAGTGTTTTCTCGTAAAGTGTTTTTCAGGGGTGTTGAAGGTTCAAACAAAGCATCGCTGAGTGTGAGTCGCCAAGATTCTGTCGAACATGACGGCCGAGTGATTTCTGCAGCCAAACAGCCCGAAACACTGCATGTACCGCTCGTGGCAACCAATGACCTGTTATCAGAATCGCCTCATTCCATCTTTGGAACTAGCTTTTTCCTTCGGGAAACGATGAATTCCCTCCCGGGAACCAATAAACTTGCCTTTACAGGGAGCGACAAGTGAGACAGTTGCATCTCTCAGTCGTTTTACTTTTTGTGAATTTTGATAGTCCACGGTCTCTCACCATACTCTAACAAAAACATAGAGTAATTTTTGTTTGGCCTGTGGTCAATGTGTTCTCAATATAGAACTACTCTTTTGTATGCATCATGTTTATGTTATTGTTAGCCGCATCTACGGCAGTTACACAAGGAGTTACTTGATGAGAAAACAATGCCTCATGTTTATGTTATTGTTAGCCGCATCATATCTTGATGAGAAAACAATGCATCATGTTTATGTTATTGTTAGCCGCATCTACGGCAGTTAAACAAGGAGTTATATCTTGATGAGAAAACAATGTATCATGTTTATGTTATTGTTAGCCGCATCTACGGCAGATTATTTTTGTACCTCATGAACAGCAAATTGGACGCCACTTACACAAGGACTTATCTCTTGATGAGAAAACAATGCCTTATGTTTATGTTATTGTTAGCCGCATCTACGGCAGATTATTTTTGTACTTCATGAACAGCAAATCGGACGCCACTTACACATGTACAAGGACTTATCTCTTGATGAGAAAACAATGCCTCATGTTTATGTTATTGTTAGCCGCATCTGAGCGCGCTGAGAAAAATCCGTTGAAAATAAAGTTTCGAAAAGATATGTTCGAGTCGTACAAACCTATGTTTGGGCCGAGCCCCGACCGATTTCCATGTTGCAGAATGTCCGTCATTTTTCGAATAACCACTTATTTTTACCTCACATGCTCCTTTGCGGTCTGGGTGTGTACACTTGAGCCGCGACAACCTTAGATGAAATAGCTGTATACAGCTAATTCAGGAAAGGTTGTCGCTCTATGAGTACCCAAACGTACACGCGCAAAATACCTAGTGGTATGGGCGCGTAGGCCTTACGACAACCTTTTCTAAAATAGCTGTACATACTAAACAGCACCGTATTCACATACCTATGCAAGAAAGAACGCAGTAGCTACACGCACGCATTGCGGGCCTATTTTTAAACTAGAAATGACAAGTGGAATTGAAGTTGCTGATAATTTGCTGTGGCCACTTCCTGAAAGAATATTTAGGTTTCGCTACCGCCTCACGCAGTAAAAGAGGAAGAAATAAGGGGCAAAATAAGATCCTAAAAATTGTTATCACTCGCAAACTAAAGAGTCTCCCAAACGGCCCCTCTCCGTGATTTACAGCTGGAAGTAGCAAATAAGGACTGAAAACTTGAAGCCTGAATTACGCTAAGATTGTCATTAATTTACGTACACAGTTTAAAACAACCACTATTTTTGCCACATATTTTTTAAAACGTAAGCGTCACAGTCATGTCATCATATGACTAGGGATCATTTCCACAAAAACTCAAGCTTGTCTAACAAAAATAAACACGGGCAAGATTTCTTTCTCTAATAATAGCCGATTCTTCTATCCCGCAAGGTGGTGAAAACGAATTAAATTGAATTAAATGTATTTGCATAATGCATTGAAAGTTGATAAAAGCGTTTTTTAAAATTTTTATCCCTTGTTTTCGACAACAGTGACTTCAATTCGACATCTGAACCCAAGTCTTTGCTACACGCGCGCTACAGTGTGGTACACTAGTACAGCCAGTCATTATTATTACTCGTTATTATTACTATTAATGAAATAACAATAATAATAACAACCTATAGTTTGCATGTCATTCGGAAATTATTACATTTTTCATTATTCTATTTAACAGCTTCCATTTGGCGCGTAAATATGCTCGGATTGTAATGCAGAATACAACCCTTGTCGAAATTACTGCAGCGGCACGGATTACGGCCATCACTGACTTTTTCACTGATTTTTTTCTTCACAGCGTTTTTCACATATGAAAATTGTACGATGCTGAATGAGACAATCAGATCACGCCATCACATAAATTACTACATTCCGAACTTGGCGCAACGGTTAATTTTACGAGGGATTTATTTTGTTCATAAATTATCACACCCGGAAGAAACAGCAACAGTAGTGCTGAAAGGTCATCAGGATCGGACGCGCTGTGATTGGCTCCTCTAGCATGACCTGCGCTGTGATTCGTTGCTCTAGAATGAACCGCGCTTTTCGCTGGCACTATAATATAAATCTTGGAATAAAATTTGCTGCAATACTTTCAACTGTCGTCTATCGAGTCGACGTCGCGATCAAGAGAACCTCGAAAGCGTGGTATGCGATTCCTGAAACCGAGAGAAAAAAAAACTTGAAATTTCAACCTCACTCCAGTTCCAGATGCTGGGGAGTCATTCCATTTTGATTTTATTCCTGGCACTGGCTTCTGCTCTTCAGCCGCAGGAGCTTAGCATAGAGGACATCGTAAAAGGTAGGTTATAAAGATATATACAACAACTTTCAAGCGAAAAAGCTATAACCACTGCACTGAGGTTCGTGAATCACACAGTATTTTCTGTATCACCAGTCCGCTGAAAATTTCGTGGATTATTTTACGTCTGTTAGCTGACGCGTAGGCCCGCAGCCTGCCAAATTGGAATGTGTTTGTCGTGGCCCTAGCTTTGTATAATAATATTACCAGTTAAGGTTACGTGCGAGCGACCTTGCAAATTCTCCTACAACATTTAAAGTTTGTTAGGAACCAACAGAAATTTCGCATTGTTAGATAACTAGTATGTCTGCTCTTTAGGGCTCAACACCATGCAAAACCGGGCGCATTGATGATGAGTTAACTGTAGGTCCTACGCTACTGGTCTTTTTTTCCCAAAGCTCGCCAAATAATGACGTAAGATGCATTGTGTTTTCTTTTCGTAACAATAATCAGACTCTCTGTGCCGACCGCCGAACGGAGCTCGCCAACTTCCTAAAGTTCACGCTTTCCGAAATGTGATCTTGATGGTTGTTGAAAAATCCGCCAAATTGACAACGGGTCATTGAAAGTCTCTCCCGTAGGCTGGGTTGAATGACATGTGGTGCGTCACGCCGATCATTGCTCGCGTCAGGAGCCGATTACTGCTCGCGTAAATTGGACGTTGTTGTCACGAGAGAAAAGTGTCTATCAATATTTATACCGCGTCACAGAGACCTAGTTTTGAAGCCGTTTCTAGGGAAAAATTTTGGTCGTGTAGCTTGGACTCCTTTTGTCATGCATTGGTCATATTATGGCACTGTATTTCCTGGTGATATGCAAATGTCAATATGACGTCATTGAACGACGCCTATGACCACGTGACCAGAAACGAAAATGTCTGAAATCTTGGAAGTTTATCATTTCAATCATGTTTTTTCGTGGAAATTTACTTTTGATTAATCTCACATTAAATTATGCATAGTTTTTGTAATATTTTCTTTGAGCAAGACTTCTAACCCAGATTTGAGGTACAGAAATACCGTATTTATTCGAATAAGCGTCCAACCTCGAATTAGCGCCCACCTCGAATAAGCGCCCATCTTAAAGGCAGAAAAAGTTAATAAGCGCCCAGCCTCGAATAAGCGCCCACCCCACCCCACTCCCTCCCACAAAAACTCCAATAAGATATAATAACCCTCCCGAAGACGGAGTTTTTCTTCAGGGTAGTATTGTACAGAAACCTTGCTTTGTTACATCTTCGCTTTTTGTTATTAGAATCTACTGTTTTGTTGCAAAATATACTACTACACTTGCCGAGAATGGTGAAAATTTAATAAGCGCCCAGCCTCGAATAAGCGCCCACTCTCAAGGTCCAAAAATTTAATAAGCGCCCAGGGTGGTTAATCGAATAAATACGGTAGTCCTAATTCGTGTCAAAGAGAAAAATTCCTAAAAATGAATGCATCTTTTTTTTAGGCAGAATTTCAGTCTAAATAGTCCGGTACGTTTAAAATGCATTTTGAGCCAAACCTCGCGATTATTTTAGAGTTTTGTAAACCGGAAGTGGCTTCTTTAACGCATGCGTATGATACTTACCCAATATGCTATGCGAGGGAACCGAATTGATCGAGGCCCTGCTTTGTTGTGGGTGCCCCTGAATAAAGGCCTGGAAAACCAACGAGAATATAGTTCAAAACCACTTAAACATAGCATTGTTAAACGTATTTTAGTAGTTAAACGGTAGATATAGGCATATTTTTATCCCCTAAAAATTTTTCGTCTGTTCGGATTTCCTAGCGGATGTAGAAAGTCCCTAAGTTTTTTCAAGGCCGAGAAAAAATTTTCACGACAAATATAGTACACTCAAGCAAATCAAAGCATCGTTCAAGAGGACCACAAAAACTGATATAAACTCAATACATAAGAATTAACGCTTCTCAATGCCCTCTTTGTCGTTGCGTTACTAACTGGCAGGTAACGCGCCTCTCATTAAAAGTTTAATAAAAGTTGACAACCGCCATGTTGTTAAACGCCGGCCACGCAGGCGATTAGGGAGCTTAAGCAAACCACGACGGCAACGGCAACGTAAACGTAACCAAACAAAAAGTTTAATGAGCTGAGCAATGGCTGTGCACGTGCGTCATAAATCTTTGTACATTTCGTAGCCGTCCTCTGCAAAACAACGTGAAATGTCAAAGTTCTGCGTATTTTGGAGAACGTGAGCCACGACGACTATTTTTTCGTATTTCTTTTCCGAAATTATATTTAGTTTGACCGATCGGCGTACTAAGCAGATCTAGATATTGTGCTAAATTGCTACTTTCAAACAATAAAGCATGTCTTCCCCCGGGTTTGAAAATATGGAGAAGTAAACAAAAGGAAAAGAAAAACTAAAAAAACAAGCCAAAAAAGAACAAAACAAAACAAAAACAACATGAAAACATGACAAGCAGAAAGGTACTAAAGAAGAAAAGACATTGCTTGGAATTTTCTAAGGAGCGTTGGTCCATTCCGTCGAAAAAGGATTTTGCTTGCCAAGTTGAAAATAATTTCAAGCAACCCGTTCATGTCCAAACTACTGCCACGCAGACTGACTTAGTTTTACCTACTCCGTCATCCGAAGTAAGTGGTATAAATCAAGACGGCGGATTCGCTCTCCATACGGACAAATTACATGACTTCTGTGTCAATTTAACCAGCGCTGAAGAGCAAGATGCTAGAAAATGTGGCAGCCTTACCGAAAAGTTTATTGAAAACAGAGCAATTCATAAAGTAGTTAGTGTGTTTGAAAGCAAAAATCACAAACTTGATAAGTTAACGAGTAAGAATCTCTCCCTATCAAGCCATCGTCGTTTTGGATTTCGACTTCTGAAGTTATGCGAGATGCTGTTTCAGAAAGCAAATGCAGTGGATGTGGAAAGTCGGGACAGTTCTCTTTTAAGAAAGAAACGGAGCCACAGACAGGAATACTTAAGTTGGAATTTATTTGCTTTGAATGCGAGAAACTGTTTAGTAATTATCTAGCAACAGCGAGACTATTCTTGCCCGTAAGAAACCAAAGCGCTCATCTGACCAATTATGTCCTGCTGGCGTTCACTTGTTGATTATACTTTAAAGTTTATGACCCCTTCATGGGAACCCTAGGGATAAGCCACTTTAGCAAAAAGCAGTAAAAAGTTTTTTTTCTTATTCCAAAAGCGTACTTGTTAGAGAAAAAAAAAAGATAAATAAAATTTGCTTTTTCGACGCTGTATAAATTTATTTCATTTATTCGGACCGCAGAGGAAACAAAAGTGTTAAACTCGCGCCTCGTCTAATGTCAAGAAAAAATTCAAGCGGAAACCTCTGGAACCAGGTTATAAAATAACTAAGATAGTACGCGCGCTCTGATTGGCTGAGAGGCGTGTTTGCATGAGAGTATGAAAACATGGTTGTGACATCAAGATGGTTTGCTTTTCGGGCGCTAATCACACAAGCACGAACTTGAAAATTTTGAGTTGAAAACCTCGACAAGTTTACTTTATTCACCCATTTACTCGTCGGCTGAAACTTGGAAAATCTTTAGAAACATGCTGTGTCAATTTTTTTTCGCTTGAGCTGACATTTTAAGCAAGAAAAAACCCGTATTTTGGAAAGCATCTGTTTTGCAAAACAAGGACTGATTACGCGTACAAGCTTCGTGTACAAGACTTCGCGACTGATAAGAATTTGTCTTTTAATCAGTGCTCTAAACAAGAGAGTTTTGCTTTTTTCTCGGGAAAGTTATTTTATAAAAGAAAAAGAAAACTTTTTCCTGTGTTTGCATATCCTGATCTCGACAGTTACGCAAACCCTCGACTTCGTCTCGTGTTGGCATAACTGTCTCGAATTCTCCCAACCCCTCTCGTGTTGATATCAGGCTATGCAAACACGGAAAACGTTTTCTATTGGTTAAATGTAATATATGTCAGTTTCATTATACTGAATGCACTGGTACAAAACGAAGCAAGACATGTTTGTAAATAATAAAGAATGAACTGTTTAAAACATATAAAACAAAGGGGTCAAGCAACTTCCGAACACCAAGCCACCTTAAAAAAATACTAATCAACTGCTCCAGTGATCCCCCAGTGATGAAGTAAGTAGTGTGTTTACAGTTATAACTATATCCAAAGGTCACCTACAAGCAAAATTACATGTATTATCCTCATCTTGCTTACATTGACAATCCCGGGACTCTCACCGTCGTACGATCCGCCGGGGACCTGAAACAGTTCCCTCTGTCATTTTATCTTCTTTCAGCACATAAAAGAATCCAAAGACAATCTTTTCCTTTTCACGAATACTTTTCGTCCATGGCGTAGTAATTTTATTAATATATAAACAGGGGCACCCAACGTCAATTTTCGGAAAATATCTGTTAGGAAGACGATTTGAGATCTAGAATTTTCGGAACATTTGTTGTAAAATTTCTTGCTTGCCTGCCTCTCCTAGGATTTTCGAACATCTAAAAAATGGTATAATTGCCCATTTTTAACGGATTTTTACCCCAAAAAGGTCACCTAGAATTTTCGGGAGCCTTTTTTCTGGCTGAAATTTTTGAAAAGGTTGGTTTGGATCCCGAGATAATTTTCGGATCACTGGTTAACACTTTTCTACCGGCATAATTTCGAGAATAATAGTATCTGTGGAGCATCAAGTCAAATCAAGCATAAATGCCAGCATAATACTACACTTTTGCCAGAATAACAATGCCTTTTTTCGAAGAAAAGAACTATTTTTTTTTAAAAAATTATAGCTTTTTTTAGCTACCAGGGCCCATTTATTTAAAGAGAATTGTTAAATTGCCGAGCCAATTTAACGTTCTACGCAGTTTTTTGCCATTACAAGTACCAACTTTCCAACTTTACCTTACTTTTTATCCTTTGGGTTATGTGTGTGTCAGTGTGTTACTGATTTATTTATGAATATCGCATTCTTTTCTGGGAGTGCAGCGTTGGTTTCAGTTTTATTATTTCATTAGTTATTTCAGTACTTTTGTGTTGCTAACATGTTATGAAAATTACGTTTGTTTCGTGGGAGAGAGGGGGAGGAAAGAGTATGAGAAAACTCTTTTGTGGCATAATAACGAGAATAACAGGGACAGTCAAGCATAATTATGATTACGAGCATAGTAGTCTACTTTTTAGTGAGAAGTGGGGGGCGGTGGGGCGGGCTGATGCTTAAAAGCATAACGCACGATTTTAGGGGACCCTGGTACAATCATTCGAGTTACTTTGTGCGAAAATCAGAGCGGTGGGCCACTTTTTGGTGGACAGAGTGGTGTTACGCGCGCGTTGACACCGAGTATGATGTTCGTAACCAGACGAAGCAAACGATGGCCTACGATGTCCATTCCGAAAGAACTCGGAAGTTTGTCCAGCAGGCAAATGGCATCGGATTAATGTGGCGGGCGCCGTAAGAAATGCCGCTAAAGAATACTCTGCCTTGGAAAAATCATACATCGACAGCATCTAGGTCTCAAAGTCGATGACTCAAAGTCCTTCCATTCTCTCAGATTCGATTCTTTAAAGCTATAAAAACTAAGGTAAGACAGGGACATGGCTATGATGCAGCTTCGAAAATTAAGACAAAAAACGTCTGCTGGACTTCAAAAGGAATTTTCTGGATTTGCCAGATGCTACCTACATGCAACCTGGTAAATGTTTAGTTTATAAAAATATTATTGTTTTTTAAAACAATAATATTTTATCTTAAAAGATCACTTGAACTGAATTCAATATATTCAATATCTTGGCCCTGCTCTCAGCCAATCATAATGAAGAGTTTTCTCTTTGAAATACGACCCTGAGAAACACTGTTGCTTCCCTCCTACCCTTCGTCCATCAGAACCCTCCAGTCTCTCATTTACTAAAATAATTCTTTTTTCAGAACTGAGGGACTTAAATACAAAGGTCAGCAATGTTCATTCACCAGGTATTAGCAGCTTATAATATGACTGAATATCACTGTGGGAAAAGCTATTACAATTAAAACCAACACGAACGAAAAGAACACCAAGGTTACATAGAAATAGAATAGAAAGTAACAATAAGAAAAATAAAAAAAATAAAAAACGATACGATTCATAAAGTCCAGAGGCAAAAAGAGTGGAACACAAAATGCTACGATAATCCAAATATACAAGATAGTAAGACAGTCATGCATAAAAGATGACTTGTAAAACAGTCATAGGTGTACCAGCCAGGGCAGGTCAGGGGGGCAATAATGCCCAGGGCTGTTTTGAGGGAATCGTACAATTTTTTGGGCAAAATATGAGGTTGTATACCTCTCTGGCAAGGCCATTATAGCTAGGTTTGCACTAATGTATATGGCCCTCATGAGAAGTTTTTGTGAAGGCTCACTTCAAAAAAAAATGAAAGCTCAGGGTCACAGCAGGAGCACATGCATCTATGGGATCATTTGGGCTGCAAAAATGTAAACAAGAATGTCTGCCAAATCCCATCGAAGCACATGCGCCACTCTCACCTCAGGTTATCACTCTTTCCTGGAGTGTGCTATTAAGTTTTGGCTTGGAGCATGCGGGACCACATAGCTCACATAATAAGGTAACTTATCTATAGTAGTTTTAGCCTTAACCTCTTTATATCTGGGCTGGTAGTAATTGGCTACCTTTTTGCAATAAAATTGTTGTGTCCCTGCTGTTTGTAGTTAGTTATTTTATTTTATTTTATCTGGCATTGTTCAATTGATAAATAAATATTATTTGATTTTCTTCTCCTTAGACTTACCCAGAGAGGATTTTGAGAATTCAAGGGAATTTCCTGGATTGAAATTCCATACTCTTGCTGAAAGTACCGGTAAGTAGAGTATTTAGCAAAATATAGGCAAGTAGTCTCTCATCTTTTTCAGGGAGACAAAAGAGTGTGGTACTCCAGCTGGTTACAGTTAGTAACAGGGAAAATAAAAGATGATTTGTGAATAGACGTAGGCATATAAGCCAGGGGGTCTGGGGGTGAAAACTGCTCTCTCCTTCTTTGTTTCAGGGGAATGGTACTATTTTTTGATAACACTCATAATTCAGACAAAAACTCTTGGGAGGAATTTAAAAATAATTGTTCTTCAAAAGAGGCCAACGTTCAAACTGAAGGCAAAACTACTTAATAAGGAAATAATAAATAAAAATTAGATGCTAGTAAATAGAAATTATTTATTCTAACCTCCGTGGTGCAGAAATTAATCTTGAAAGATTCCGTAGCAACTAATTTTGGCCTCATAACATTCTGTCTTTCTTAGAAACTAAAAATGACCAATATGTATGTTGTTTTTCATGCAATTTGAGTATGTTTGTACTACACGTTCAAAATTTACGCATAATTTCAGGCATGCATAATTTTTTTCGCGTAAGAAGTAAACTAGCTGCTCCATATCATCATTAATCTAAACGCATTCGAAGCGCGTTCTATGCAGCTTGACCCAGAGCCAAATATTTCCTGTCTGGTCCAATCTACCTCAGTCAAATAAGCATTTTTATCATGTCAACAAATTTTAAATTGGTCATGATTGATTATAAGATGGTATATGACTACAACAACTAGCTGTGGATTTTGATAGGAAAACTGACTGACACTTAATTACCTATCATCATTAAGTTGGAATTTAGTTTTGTACCTCTTAATATTTAATTCAAGTCTTTAAATCACATTTTCTTTTCTGGTGATCTTCTCCCCTTAGACGTACCCAAAGAGGTTTTCGAGAATTCAAGGGAATTTCCCGAAAGCAATTTCCGGTCTCCTGAAAAAGGTGAGGAGATTATTAAGAAATATATTTTAATCAGTATTTATGTACAGTATATATTAAGTACATTTAGTGAGTACAACAAGTAGTCTCCCATATTTTTTAGGGATACTACGCCTCCAGTGAGTTGTACTTATAATTAGTTACAGCCATAGTGCCAGGGGGTCTGGGGATGCCAGCAAAACTAAACTCCACTCTCCCCAATTTTTGGAGAATTGTACAACTTTGCAGGCAAAACACTCATGAGGAAATTAAAAAAAAGAATTGGTCCTTAAAAGTGGTAAGTTTTGTTGCATTTACTTTGTCCCACCCCAACTACAGTAACTCAGCTCCTGGGTCTAGGAGAAAGGAAGATGCTTGGTCCAGGGCATGGTACAGTGTAAGTGGTGTCTGAACAATGAACAACATCAGGCAGCAGCCATTGGGAGGAAATGAGAAAAGAATTGGTCCTTAAAAGTGGCAAGTTTTGTTGTGTTTACTTCATCCCACCCCAACTAACTGCCCCTGGCTCTGGGAGGATGGAAGATGTTCAGTCCAGGGCATGGTGCTATGGTGTCTGAACAACGGGCAACATCTATTTAAGTGCTTGTTCCTGAGAACTGGGCACTGGCACCTAGTCTGCATGGGGCATTGATTTCCTGAGATTCTCAATATTAATTGTGATCATATAGTAAAGTTTCTTTAGTAAAATGTTACCTGGAACTTTCAGAACATGGTAAAATTGAGGGAGGGAAAATTTTTTCCTTTTTATTACACGATCAAAGGTGAGCTAGGATTTTCAGAAAGGCAACAGCAGCTTATAGTGAATCCACGAAAAAAGTTCTTTCCTTTGTTTAGACTATTTTGCTAATGCAGACCTTTTTGTAAGCCAGACTATCAAACGTTATGTGCCTTTGTTTTGATTTTGATTTTACCATGTTTTATGATGAGTCATATACTTCCACCCATATCTCGATCAGTAAGATACTAAAACCAATCGCCACTTTGTAGCGCCTGTTTTCTTGCGTTTAGTGCCAGATACATTTACTTGAATTAGGAATTTTGTGGTTAAATAAAGAAAGGTGATTAAACCTTTGAAGCAAGAGGGAATCTTTGATGGAGTACCTAAATTGGCTTAACTCAGCAAGTTTATGTCAAGGAAGTTAAGAACACAAAGGACAAGACTAGCGTAGGGAAGAACTCATGACTCTAACAGCATGTGTTTGAAATTTAACTCTCATGGTGAGGAAGATTCGACTTGTAGTTCATGGCACAAACTCTATTACAGTTGTGGATGAAATATAAAGTATGGATGAATTAGTGAGCAGTTAAGTATTTTCAGCAAAGTTTTGGAAAGGGAGAAGCTCAATTTTGATTGCAAGGTTAGAGACTCTAAAATCAAACTCTGACTGGACTTCTATGTTGCAATTGAATGCATCTGTTATGATTGGTCCTTGTGGTTTCTTTGGTTTTGGTGTTGCTTAAGGTTGGACCAATACCGATTCTAGAAGTTACTTTTGTACACAACAAGTAATAATAGGCTCAGTTCTGATTTCTTCATTGCTATTTTCACTTTATTTTCTACACTCCAAAGCTTTTCAAGTGTTTACACATGTGTCCCAAAAGATTAGAACAATGAAGATAGCAGCTGATTTGATGGAAGTTTCCAAATACAACAATACTCTAACCGTTTCTGCTGAAATGGTTACAGCTCTTTACACAGGGTTGAAAGTTCAATATTGAAATGGTTGTTCAGCCAAGACACCCAATACATTTTTTTACTCAATAGGACACCTAAAGGACCCAACCAGCCTGACCAACTGCAAATGTTTGGTCCCAATAGAACACGACCTTGATTGACACTGAGTAGTGGAACCTTTTTAACCTTGGTTTTGTAGATCTCTCTCTCTCTTCAATCAATCCAAAAGAGGAAGTGGAGTGGGAGGAGACATGCAGGCCCTTATTCCATTAATTGATTAATTGTTCTGTGAGTTATGTTAGAGTGTGCTTCCACCAATCCAATTACCTAGAATATAATTTTGTAGATTTTTTTTCTTTAGATGTGCTGAAAGAATTTTTAGACAAACCAAGGAACCTTCATGAAGATCATTTAAGGGCTCTTGAGAAAGGTAAGGTAATTTTTTCATACTTTAGATGTTTTTAATTATTATTTCATTTTCTTTTTTTCCCAGTCCCAAACTTTTGACATAAAATAAGTAACTTTGAAGGTATAACTCTCCTAATTATTTTCTGCCAATTTAGGGAATACATTCTGGATATTGCATGTATTTTGGATTTGTAAAATGGCACAATAGACTGGAAATACAGGATTTGAGCTATATTGGAGAAGCTAAGCTTTATTCCTTAAACATGTATGAAATTGTTGAGGGAAGAAACTCAAAGGATGGGAACTTTTTAAATAATTTTACAGTTTCCCACATTTCTCTCACTAAAACGCTGACAGTTGGAGTCCAGATGCACCTTTGACGATATTTGACAGTGAACTTGTAATTTGATGATTTGAGGAAGATGATTACATTGCTGAGACTCAATTTAGCAACCGTTTGGTCTTATCATTTCCTAGGTTGAGGCCATTTGAAAGTTCAATTTTGTTTGAAATATCATCTGATTTCAAGAGAAACACTAATTTCTTGTGTATTTGGCTAGGTAACAAAATGGCTCTTGCATTCTCTCTACATAGGATCCATTGCTTATGTAAAGGTTGTAGCAATGACGGGCAACGTGTACGGAGGAGGTCAACGGCGTCGCTGGGGTAATAATCCAGAACTGGTGATCGTCCTGAACAATCGCATGAAGTATCAAGCAGAATTGAAATATGACAAGTATCCAGGTATGCAATACAAAATAGAACTGAATGTCTACCGTGATTTTACACCGCAACTCATCTGCACTCAAAAGGACATCAAGGAAGTTTATCTCGAGGCTCGAGGTACTGATGGATGGTACGTAGCATCGATCGACACCTACAGCATGGGAGCGAATAAAATATACACTAAACTGACCACAGATCCAGGCTTCAGTATGTGGGTGGACAGCAATGAAGAATATCGTTACCCATACAATGCCAAAAAGCACCTGCTTACCAATGCTGTCGCAGGATCATGTATCACATATATACGTGTAGATGCAATGACGGGAGACAAGTGGGGAGCTAGTTTCTCTAACGAGTATGGAAAGAATCACTTGATAGTTCTCTTTCTATCAAATAATAAAAAATGTCAGGCAGAACTTGAAGGACCTATGAAACGAGACCAATCTTATGTGCAAGAGTTACACTTTAGAAGCCGGTTTAAAACTACACAGTGCGTGTCTCTACCTGACATTAAGGAAATTCACCTACAAACTCAATATGGAGGAGATGACGGTTGGTACATAGCATCCATTCGCACTTCTGCTAAGACTGGCGATAAGCAGTACGAGAATCTGACAAGTGATCCACACCTCAACAAGTGGCTTGATGCTAATGAAGAGTCCAAGTATCCTTACAATGCGAAAGACATCAAACTAACATGGGTAGTTCAAGAAACCCTTAACTGTGAATATGGCAATCCAACTTGTGAATGCAGTTCAAATGCAGAGGTTTGCAGATTTAACCTTGAAATTGATGAAATTCGAACCTTCACCAGCTATCAAAAGTTATCGGTGGATGAACCAACAGGAATTGCTATGCGAGGATCTCAGGGAGTGATCTATTATTTCGGTGATGATGGGACTCCTATGCCTCTGCAAACTAGTAGAACATGTTCAACACAGGACAGCACCAAATGCACTAATCCCCAGTTTGTAGATGGTAAAACGTATCGTTTGGCGATAGCCGTCAATGGACAGATTCCTGGACCTACCTTGATAGTTAACGAAGGGCAAACTGTTGTAGTTCATGTTCACAACAATCTTACCACTGAGGGTATTTCAATTCACTGGCATGGGATGCACCAGAGAGGAACACCTTGGATGGATGGTGTTGGACAAGTGACCCAATGTCAGATAGGGCCTTCATCAAGCTTTTCATACATGTACATTGCTCGTCCTTCTGGGACGTTTTGGTACCATTCTCACAGTGGTGCTCAGAGGACAGATGGGTTCTTTGGTGCACTTATAGTTAAAGAAATACCCGAAAGAATGGAGACAATCAAAGCCGAACTCCAAGAGCATGGTGCATTTGAAGACCTTCCAGAAAAGCACACCTTAACGCTTCTAGACTGGCAACATGAGTCATCCCTGGACCTCTTCACACAGATCCACGCTGGCTTGGGCTTTTATCCAGACAAATCGCTTGGCGAGGTGCCCACTCCAGATGATCAACGGTACGAATCCACACGTAGTTTTGAAGAAGGAGAGGTTGGGCCTGTCCCGTATTTTTCGGGAATTATAAATGGGAAAGGTAGGCACGTTGATGTTCCATACGTCAAGACAAGACTGAGTATATTTACTGTTGAGGCTAAAAAGACATATCGCTTTCGGCTAATTGGAGCCCAAGGGCTGTATGCTTACCGCTTCTCCATTGATGGCCATAAACTGACTGTGGTGGGCACTGACGGCTATTGGATTCGGCCCGTAGAAAACGTTGATTACATTATCATCCATTCCGGAGAGAGGTATGACTTTCTTCTTAGTACAAGAGATACATTTGGGCTGAAAGACTACTGGATGCGACGGCTCTGAGACCTCTAACTATCTTCACCCCGACCCGGTGGGAAGGCCAGTGATCCTGTGCACCGTCTCCGATAAAATGTGATGTTTGTCTTACCCCTGAGTCTACTAGGCGATGATAATGTACCATCAACAAAATACCAAGAAATCAAAGAAAAGTCTCCTCCTATACAGTGCACCAAGAATGACCCATGCAAAGCAGTCAACTGCCCATTTAAGAACTTTCATCCATTATATTACATTATCTGTACTAATGTTCAAAGCCTACGTTTACTTGAGCCAACTCCACCTGATGAGCTTCCAAATGCAAAGCCTAGAGGCCCAATGGATTGCAAAGGTTGCAGACATTTCATCAACTTCAATTTTGAGGGTGACTCTCAAACTAGTGCAGTCAATGGGCGCAATTTCATTCTCCCCTCCTTTCCTCCCCAAACCCAAAATGAAGAGTTTCTAAAAAAGGACACAAAGTGTGACCTTAAGGCTGACTGCAATCCCTCGACACCCGAGTGTTCATGTGTGCATGTCATAGACATTCCACATCGGGAAACTATTCAAATGGTTTTTTCGGCAATTGGTGCTTACCACAATGCTCATCCCATTCATCTCCACGGCCATACTTTTCATGTTGTTCATGTTGGATATCCAGAATATAACAAAACAAATGGTTTCATTGAAAACCACAACAATGATATATACTGCGATGACATCCACTGTACTAAAGAGGGCTGCGACAAAAGGAGATGTACCAGACCAAGATGGAAAACAGAACCAATGCATTTTCCTATCGATAGCCATACGATCAGGAAGGACACAGTTATGCTCCCTGCTGGGGGGTACGTTGTCATCAATTTCCTATCTGATAATCCCGGCTACTGGTTTCTTCACTGCCACATAGAGGTGCATCAGCTTGAGGGAATGGCAATAATTGTCAATGAGACTTCTCCCGATCCGCTCCGACCACCCAAAGGGATTGGCAAGTGTGGAGACTTTGAGATTAGTGTCAATAAGTTTCGCTCGCACAGTTCCAACGTGATCAATTAACTGAAGAAGAGAGTTAAGATCTTAGCATTCTCAGCAACTATTGGTCTCAACAAAACTAGTAATTAGAAAACACTTTGAGACAAAGCTTGAACTAAAAGCAGTACTTCTCTAACTCTATATAAGAAAAGAAAAACAACTAGCAAAAGAAGAATTTACATTTTGATTACCAAAGTTAACGAGTGCTTTTCCTTTCTCTATCAGCCAGCGTTTTCTCTTCGTTTCTATTGAGTCACAAAATCACTCGTGAAAGCTTGAGAAAACTCGAAAAAACTGTAGCAACACTCGCCGGCGGGTCGTATTCACAGTGTTTTTCGTTCTCCCAAACTTCCAGTTAGGTTTTTATTTAACAATTAGATCATGTGCTCGAGATTTCCATGACGTGATACATGTAGTTGATGAGGCGGAAGGTCTCATCAACTACTAAACTTCTAGCTATTTACGCACGCTCATCAGCTTAATGAAAAATTTTGAGGCTTTAAAGTCACATAATAACCGATTTCCTTTCTTCAGCCTTTTTAAAAACTGAAATACAGTAGAACCCCGGTAACTCGAACTCTGAGGGGAAACGAAAAACTGTTCGAGTTAGCGGGATTTTGAGTTATCGGGGTCGATTGAAATATTCAATTTTCCCGGTTAATAATTGATAGTTTACATTATGTAATTGTACTCAGCAACTGAAGAACTCTCAAGCTAAAAAAAAAACCGGGAATATACAGTATGTGTTTGTACAGACATTCGAATGGACACACGTTTACTGCATTGTAGCACTGTTTTTTTCTTTGTGACAGCAAAGACACCGCATCCGGTATCACTGTTATGATCGGTAAATAACTGTCAAATACGTGATATGTTCGTTGCAGTAATAAAAATCAAATTGCTCTAGCCTTTGTTCTAGTGTTAGAATTCGATCACAAGATAAGAAGAGCTAATGGGATATCTCAATGGTTATCCGTGGCGAGTTATAAGAACCAGAAATTCGAGTTATCAGGGTAAATTTTGATCAAGGAAAACGAAATTTAGTTAGCGGGGTTTTCGAGTTATCCGAGTTCGAGTTAACCAAGTAAAAATGACTGAAAAGTTGGGTCAAATCCAAGGGAATTGAGACTCAGTTCGAGTTAGCGGGAGAGTTCGAGTTATCCGAGTTCGAGTTACTGAGGTTCTACTGTATCCTGTAGTGTTTCCAAATCTTCCTCCGAAACATCGGAAAGACGAGAAAACTTTCCCGTTATGTGGACGATTCCTGAATCCAGGCATTATACACTAATGGCTGATAGTATACGATAGGTCAGGCAATTATAGTGCAGTATTTGCATTAGTACGCTATTAGAATTGTACTAAAACTAGAGAGAAAAGGGGTATTTTTTATTCTTTGTTTAATGTCAAGTAAAGGCACAAACTAAATGATGCTATGAAACATTCTCAGGAGTTTCGCGCCATTTTTATCTTCTAAGGAAGTGAGCAATGCAGAGTAGAGACATGGACTTTAATTAATAACACTTCCAAGAGTTACGGCAAATGTAGTCTGCTACACAGCCGTTTTTAGTGTCGTCACGCAACGCTCCTCCCCAACTTAGTGGGGAGGAGCGTTGCGTAGTTAGGGAGGAGCGTTGCGTGACGACACTAAAAACGGCTGTGTAGCAGACTACGGCAAATGCTACAAAAAGGCATTTCTTTTTCAGTAATCTTATCGAGTAGAGTTTGTGTAGTAAGGTATTCTTGGTGTGATACCTGAAGGCAGAATGTTCGCGGGCTTTCATTTATTAGGGCATGCAGGGTGTTTGCCTGCAGACACAAAGGAAATACGAGACGTCTGCACGCAGGGAAGCATGGTGGAGGGAGGGATACAAAAGTCCGTTGGTAAGTCGCGCTTCCAAATATATCAAGCCCCTATTTATGGGGAAATATTACATTATTCCCATCTTCAGTGCGACGCACAGATATCTGCCACTCCCTGAAGCATTCCTCCTAAGGCTTCTCTTATTATTTGATAACGGCCTCCTTCTTAAGTTCCCAAAACAATGACCCCCTCCAATGCCCTAAACTATGAAGTCCCCTTATGACCGAAAGATTAATGTTTTAGAACTGTTCATTTCTATTATAATGGAAACGTCAAGTAGTTAGAACCATAGTCTTGGACCCCGGGGGGGGGGGGGGGCCCTTTNTAGCTGTTTCCTCAGTCTAGATAAAATCTTCAACCAACTGATCAGTTTCCTGAAAAATGATACCCTATTCTAGACCCAAACGCTCTGATTTATATACCCTATCCTAGAGTAAACTGCTTGAAAACCATACCCTTCACAGCGGCACATACCCATATAGCCCATATATGGCAGTACCCCCCCCCCCCCGGGTCTTGGACATATAGAGGCATTGACAGGTGGCATTTTATAAGAATTCGATCTTCTTAAATACCACAGTGACATCTGGTACGTAGTGTTTAGTATGCACTAGATCACTAGATCTTAGATCATATAACAAGCTCAATTATGCACGTATTTTGATTGGCACTCACTTATGATCACACCATTAGAGGACAGACGCATAGATGGTATTTTGTTTATTAAACAAAACAAATAGATCACGGAAAAAGTCAAAATGTGGTAAGAACATCAGTGACACACTCAACTGAGTATCGTAAAACCAAAACCAAAGTAAGTTCTCTGGTCAGTCACAAATTATGCAGACAAACTGTGAACCAATCAAAAGTCTAGAAAATACATGTAACCGACGCTAAGCGCGGGAAAACGTGTGCGAGCAAGTCACGATTGTTTTGGTTTTACTTCTGACTGAATGACAAGGAGGCAAAAGGTTCTTTAACCTATCGCTTAACGAAGTAAAGCAAAACCGAAGTAAACGCGAATTACTTTGGACACTCGAGTAAAAACCGCTCTATCTCGTAAAACCACAATCTTAGACATAAAAATATGGCAGTAGATTTTTGTTGGATTTAGAATGAGCTGCTGTAGACTCGGTGTTTAGTAAGAAGTATTTTGATAAGAATACTCATACTTGATTAACCTTGCTTATAACATTTTGTTGTAGTGCTTCCGTTTGGAAGATCATACACTTAATATGCTAGGTACTTATTATTATAAATACTACTTTTAAGTAGTACAAAGCCTTTATCCGTATTGGTATGCATGCTAATCAACTTTTTTTCTTTTATTATTCATGTTGATAATGTATACATTAGGTCATTTCACAACTTAATTTAGGAATGGATACTTTTAAAACAGCAGCCTTTTCTGAAGTGTATATATTTACTACTATTTTAAACACTAATCGGTCAAAAAACATCGATCAGTTAGAAACGATCGACTTGGACACAAAATTGCATTTAGTATTCAGTGTTTAGTATAAGTATTTGATGACAGTGGTTGCTAGAATTCATTATGTTCATTAATTTCTTTTTTGATAATCTTCCACGTTATATATAAACATTTTGATAGATTATTGCTTTTGATTGGAGTATAAAGTGTGATCAGCTATTAAAGCAGGTACATGTATAAAGTTGTTGCTTGATAGATTGATCAAGACCGTTACCATGTTTTATCTGTTTAGAGCGATTCGCGGAAGAAAAGTTAACTTAATCCCCCACCCCCTCCCTTTCAGGTGAAATTTGAAGGTATTACGTTAGGTGTTTCCCACACCAATCACACTTGCATCGTTCCTACCCGTCCCGACTCTAAGTCCCGACCCGTCATACAACTTGTAGATCATGCGCAATGAGCGGTACTTGCAGGGACAAAATGGGTGTCGTTCTTGATGAACACTTCTTGTTCCAGTGTTAGACCCTGTCTCGTCTCGTGGTTATAAACTCAACAACTCAACCGAGTTCAAAGCCTACAATTCTGCGACGTTTAATTTATGCATTTAAAAATTTTGTTCCTTATGAGAGTAAAAAGCACACTGATGACACTTTTTCGCTTTGGAAATAAAGTTTGTTTTGAAAATAACAAGCGAATGCGTGGGGAAATTGTCGGATTCTTTATCATAAAACAAATAAAAAAGCCTCAGCCGTGCTCTGTTCTGTTATAAAGCACGCAGGAAGCGACGAGAGCACTCAGGAAGTCTTGAATATACTCGCCTCCGGCTCGTGTTTCCCGACTTCTCTCATGCTCTCGTCGTTTCCTGCGTGCTTTATAACAGAATAGAGCACGGCTGAGGCTTTTTTTATTTGTTAATTAATATCTACAACAATAAAGATATTGAGGATAATAAATAGTGCGAAACCTATATACATGATGCAGAGAAACTATTCCTAAGATTAGGATTGGCTTTTTACAAAATATAGCTTATAATTGCTTGTAGAAGGGAGTATAGGGGCACAAGTTTTACAGTTTAATTCTGCGACGTTAAATCAAGTCTTTCAACTTCACCCCTAAAATCGCTTCATAATTCTGGGAGATCAGGACAAAATAATACACTTGCATGTAGTAACAACCGGGAAATCATGCTGCATGTACGATTATGGATAAAAACTGGAAAATATGTAGACAGAAAGTTCTAAAAGTTATAGATTCACCAGCCACAATTAGCTATGTAACAAGACCAATAAATTCCTTTTGTAAGTAATGCTTCGTCTAATCTAGATACCCGTACCGATGCAAATTACCTGGGCACTAAAATAGAGGGTATTCCGACAAACATTTTAGTGCCCAATAGCGACCGGGGTCATTTTCTGTTGTGCGGTGAGTTTCAATCGAGCTCCACACGAAAATGGGTGACAAGCAGACCTGTCTGAGATGACCAAATTCGACAAATCGCCGAAACCAGGTGAAAAAAACCCTTCCTGACGAAACAAGCAATCGAACCAGAGAAGCAAGGTTGACCCAGGAAATAAATTTAAAAACAATAACACGTTTCTGATGTTATTCCAGAATTTTTTGCGTCTTCAAAGGCCGTCTTTTAATGTCTGCAAATACAAAATTAAACAACATGTTCTCATGGAGAAGATGGCTAACGAATAATCTGACTCTGAATGCTATTTCGGTGTTTCATTGATTTTCAGTTTTCGTAATTTTGTGGTTGTGGGCAGCCTTTAATTTTCGATAACGACAAAACACCTTTATGAAACGTTGGTTATGCGGTTGCGGCCATGACCTGATGCCTTCCTCTCTAAAATATTTATCAATATACATTCTTACATTGGTATACCTCAAAAAAATTTTGCAAAGTGCGTTTAGAACCTTCTGCCCCAAATAACGTCAAACGGGAGTTAATTGGGAAAAGAAACTAGAGTTGCTTATTATAATGTTAATAACGTTTTGCCCCACGCCGAGAAAAAAGGAAGACCTATCTTTACAGGAACATGTTCATGTAAGCTTGAACATTAAACGGCTCAGTACTACTAAGTTCAAATTTAAAAAAGCCCGAGCTGTATTATGGTCGCGATTAATACAAATTCTCACTAATCTGTGTTCCTCAGTCGACAATCATCTTTATTATTAACAGATCTTTGACTCGATAATCGTTTAAACCCATCCTTTCCCCAAAATAGCCTTTAAAGTCCTGTTACATGCATTCAGACCCTTGGCTACTTGTGAGTCTCTGATAACCTTCTTCCGAGGGCTACCTATTCCGAGGCAAGTATCGAAAACTTTTAAGGGTCTTTGGTTGCTTGTTACCACGTTTCTTCAAACACTTCATTGGAATCACGAAAATTGTAGGTATTCCTCTTTGGGAGACTGCATCCTAGAAGCCACTCACGGGGACATGCTAATAAACGGCAAGTGCTACTTACGAATAATATTCATGGCAAAAAAAGTATTTTTCGTTTCATTAATTGTATAATTCTTAGGAAGAGAATTACGTTCTTAACGATTGTGCGTATAGTAACTGTGAGAGTAAAAATCAAGAGTACTTTCTGTTATAACTACTTCTTCATGCGTTAGAAATTAAAGTTATTACATTTTGCGTTGAAAATTTATTGCATTTTGCGTCAATGTTATTACATTTTGCGTCAGTATTACATTTTGCGGCGATTCTTATTTCATTCTGCGTTAGTATTACAATTTGGGGCGATTATTACATTTTGCGGCGTAACAAGGGAGCCCTGGTACTAGGGTTATCCTAACACTCACACATTTTTGTTCTTTTTTTACTGCTTACAAGGCAGGTTTATGGGGTTACTCTGGCGCTAGGGTAACCATCCTGAGTGCTAGGGTTACCCTAGCAAGAGGGTAAAACGCTCTGCTAAGGATAACTCGCCTACCCGGGACAACTTTCCTCCGTCATGCGTGACCAGTAATCTTGACAATTTGAACGGAGTTATCCAATTTCTGAGCTAAATTATAAACATCTTAATAATATTTAACGTGTCTTCCATAGAGAACTTCAAGTTTTCTTTCAAACCTTGGACGTACGTTACAAAGAATGTTTATTTTAGTCTTATATGTGGTCACGCGTGACGAAATACGCCAGTAAAGCTGGTAAAATTAACCCCCCTACCAGGGAAATTTTGCTTGTAAAGAGGGGCTACTCTTTAACCGATTTGCTAGGGTAACCCTCAGGAGTGCTCAGTGGAGTCGATATTCAAAAAAGCCGTTCCTCAGGCATCGTGATGCTGGCTGGGAAGTATGGCATCTTAGATAAAAATTGGCTGGGAATTAGTTAAGAATAATAGCTTGCTGGCGATTTTTTCTACCCAAATTATTTTTAGCTGGGACTCGACACACAACGCCCACTTCCTGGCTCACACACTCTTTTTTTATCGCTTTGCTGCCAAAAACTTCATGCAGTTTACGCCCAGTACAACGCCGATCATATGACGTGCGGATGACATCTGAAACTGTTTAAATGAAAACTCTTCTACGCTCCCCTATTCAATATCTGACAACTGGCTGTCAATCAGTACAATATCAACTGTTTCATTCACTTTGCGCATAGACCAGTACGTCCAGAGAGAGAAAGCGGGGGAAATTTTGAGCTGGCTGTCCAGACTGGAATGCTTTAAACCTATTTCTTCCTCGCTGGGAATCGTGGTACCAACCAACATTCACTGGTTTCTCACGCGCCTGCGCATGTGATAACGGAGATCAAGGGATGGACTAGTCGTTGATGGACGAATTTTTCCGAGTTATTTATTTCAAGTTTTCAATTCACAGCGTACCCTAAGAGACAGATGCCATGAATGTATCTATGTGTATAGTATAGTTTTATCAGTACTCCATGCTCCCAGAGCCTACTGCAGGTTGTTCAGTTGGAATTGGCCGGCAGCGATTCCAGGCTAAAGTTGTGGTTCCCCATCGCCACTTTTTAACCGTCTGGCAGGACAGACCGTCTTTGCAGAAGCATCTTGTAAAACCCTGAAAATTGTAAAAGTCAGCCTAGTTGTTGACTAAATGCGGGGTTTTAATAACCTCCCGGGCTCCTATCAGTCTCTTAAGTGGTTTAAGGTTTAAAAACAAACTTGTGAACTATCCTTGTCGTTATGATTGTCGGAAGGAATCAGTTTTGTTCACAACTCTGAAAAACGAAGATGCGGTTAAAGGTTTTTACTGTTGTTACTAACTCTTTTTAAAACAATTTTGGTGTGACGCAAAAAGAGCAATACAAAACAACCAAACATCTGATTGTACAATGCCCTACTCTAAACGAATGACTGCTTGGCTACCTGAATCATGAAGCAGACTGACATTTCTAAGCCTGAAAGGGTCAGTAAAGATTTAAATGAAAACAAGCGTTTATCAAATCACGTACAACGAAGTTACAGGACTGATTGAGTCCTCTTTTACGTGCACAGAAGCCGAAGTAGTTTGGATTGAGACAACAGCGATCTGGACCACAGTCTAAATCCTTGGTACAGCTCTGTGAACAAAGCCAAAAAAGAAAAATATTAATCTCATCTTAATCATTCCATGACTAGTCAGCTTATAGACTACTTGCCTCAGGTGCTCAAAGGGTAGATAGTTCATGCAATCCTTTGGACGGATAACGCTACCTTATAATCTAATGCATAACGCAATCTTTCCCCCTGGTTCTTACTCACTGAATGGCGATTTGTCCGGTAGAAAGAGCGACCAAACCGGCATTTGAGCAATCGGGACCAGATTCTCCAAACCCGGAATAACAAAGACTCGCAGCACATGTTCCATCTACATATTAACGTGATAAACTAGTAATAACCAAAGGTTACGGAGTGTGGGCGACAACGATCGGCGGTCCACACGCCTTTGCTCCAGCGCTGTGAGTTGCGTCCGGTTTTGACAGCTGGTCAAAACAGGCGTGATCAGATTACGAGGCGTAGAAGGCCGATACGCTTGTGATCAAATTGCGATTTGGACATTCCATTCATCCTGAGGGGAAGTCCAAACGAAATGCTGGCTACATACATGCGGCGCATGCGTAATAAAAACCTGGAGATTAGGATTATGGGTTCCTCTTGTCGCCCGTAATTAGGGAACTTAAGATGGAGACGTTTTCGGGGCGACGGCGACTGGACTGGCAGTGAAAGCCTGGAACTAAGGCAGCCGTCACTTCCCGTCAAAAATAGAACATTAACATCCCAGTGAACTCAGAAGGACGGCGCCTTTAATTAGAAGAATACCGAAGAGGAAAATATGGCTTCACATAAAGAATTAAGAGAATAAATACTTGCTATGCAGACAACATGTATCGGATGAAGAGCTTCTCGTTTTGTGGGAAAATTATGAGTCCAAAAATCCCGATTTTCCTTGGGACAGTTATGATCCGTTCACGCTAAAAAACATGTGGGATGCAGCTGAGTTCAAGGCAGAATTTCGTGTTGAAAAACAAAATGATCTCCACAGGCTTGCCGAAGCCTTGCAAATTACAGGAACATTAAAATGCTACCAAGGAACCGTATTCTTAGCTTGGTATTGAAATAATTCCCGGGAAATACTCGCATGCAACAACAACAACAACGGCAACAACTTTATTTCAGTATTCCCACGTCGAGTTAGTACATGGTATTACCTACTATTCTATATAATTTTCAATGCGTTTCATTTATACGATATTCTAACGAAAAGAGCGAACTAAAAACACACAACTGAAATATCGGAGTTCATATTTTTTGTCTGGATACTTTTATTTGGCTCGTAAAACAAGGACAATTTAAGAACGATAATCTGCAAAATGTTGGTTGCTAAACGCAACAAACCTGATTGAAATGAAAGTTAAATACTCACGTTTTCGCCACAACGCCAAACAGACCAGTTTCACGTCGCCGAGGGGACCACGACGGTAAGGTGGTGAGTACGAGCATGCGCAATATCCAACAAATGATGATGTCACGTCCGGTTGAAGTTGCCGTCGCCCCGAAAACGTCTCTATCTTAAGTTCCCTATTAATGACATGATGCTGTCAGGAGTCCATGACCTGCAGTTAGGCACTTCTTTGTAGTCGTTTTACGGCGTTTTCACCGAGCAGTTTATTTTTAGAAACGAATTAATTGAATTCGCCGTCCTTGCCTTATTAACGTAGTTTATTGATCGATGAACCTTTCATTAGCTTATTGTCGAAAGTCAAATTAGTAATTATTAATTTAGACTGCAAAACAGTCGGTTTTTTTCTCAAAATCAGTAAAGAAATCGGTAAAGCGTGGCGTAAGAGTCTTGCACGCGCGTAGCGCGCAGCGCGTCTCTCCCCAGTCTCGCTCTCTGTTTTCAGCCTCGTCCCAGACCTTTTGTTTGACTACTCGCGCGTACTTGAATACGCAAAAATACGGACTGTTTTGCAGTCTATTATTAATTCCAAGAGTTTTTTTTTTACCCCGCTGAGCTTTGTGTGTGAAGTGAGTAGAAGGGAAGTGATCGAGGCAGTTGACTGGCAATTGTAACTAGATACTCTCACTATCCGTTGCATACTGCGCACTATAACTGAGCGGTACTGCAGATTATTCCGAACGGTATTGGGAAAAAAAAAGGATTTTAAGAGTCTGCCTTATAATATCAATTACTATTTGGTTTCTGATTCGAGGGCAACCCAGTATTCTGCGTACACGGCTGGACAAAGGCAACGAAATAAGCGCCTAAATCTTGTTTATTTTTACAGTTTGCCTCATCACAAACAGACAATCAACAGCCTGTTTTGTTGATTTTGTGGCAAGAATGTCGTGATTTATTTTTAAAACTATAACGGAAAGATAATGTTGCACTGCATGGTCCCGATCAGAAGCGTAACAATGTGTGTGTGTTTCAAGTTTTGAACGCTTTAGGAATCAGGCGCCAGCCTGAATCAACAGCATATCAAGTAGGGTTTATATTCCTGTTAGTCGGGTTTATTAAAAGAAACGCCTGAGGCGCTAACAGCTAAGCTAATACAACCGAGATTTGAGGAGAGAAAATGAATTAAAATTCTCGTATCAAGCAAGGTCCATTTATATCGTCAAGCAAATTTATCTTTGGATACTGTCTAGCCCTATAAGGAAAATTGAATAGGAAAGAATTCACCACAGGTTATTTAGCATGCAATTAAAAAATGAGGCTGAGTAGGATATGGAGAATTATGCAGATCGACGTGGGTGTTTAATATTTTGAATGAACAAAAATGGAGTTTATTAGTTGATTTTACCCAGAAATAAAGATTAGTAAAGACTAAACAGTAATTAGGTTGTTAGAATTCTGCGATAAGAAACTCTTTTTCGTTCTTTTATACATATTGCGCGGGAAAGTTGGTGTAACCGCCTGATTCGAGCAAGACGCAGTTTTCCATTGCTGAGCACCGGCCTCTCAAGATTTATTATTCAATAATTGAGTTCAGTTTTTAGTGAGTACGTTTTATTTGTTCGTTGAAGCAAAGGTAGATGAATAGGGAAAATCGTTCTGGTCGACTGGGTAAAATTGCTGAAGAGGAGTGAGGCTGAAAAATTATCATGATATCTTGAAGGACCATGCAGGAACATCCCGTTTCCTTAAATCCTATTCAGTATACTCAGTATATACCAGGTATAACTCTCCTTCAACATGTAGTTTTAAAGTTACCAACTCATATTTTTCCGGTATTGGTTTCACGTTAGCTCATCCCTGGTCATTAACACACCTCCACAAAATTAACTTTTAATTCGCATCATTCTTTGGCGTTGAACCCATTCTTGAATGGATCAACACTTGAGTTCGCACACATTCCAGTTATTTTACAATTTCTTAATTCACCACAGGAAATAGATTCAATTCAAAAAACCTTTACTTAAGCACAATATTTGCCTTGAGGATATAGTATTATTTCTTACCTCATAAAAAAATCGCTTTTCCTTCAAGTGTTCCTCCGTGATTTTGAACCCAAAAGTAGCAGCCGTAAGGCTGAAAAGAAAAAGCAGCAGTGCTACCTTCATTTTACTTTTGCTTTCGTGAGCGAACAACGACATACGACGCAGTCTCTCGACACAGGACAAAGAAAAACGTTGAACCTTTCAGACATTTAGACCCAGCAGTGTAAATGTTGACATTCAGCAGCTAATGAGAAAAACGAAAATTAATATATATTATCAAGTAAATCATGCGTACAGCATGATATCATGTCATTTATATGGGACTGAAAATAAATGAGTAAGACAAATGTCAAGAATTTAAAATCATGCAATTAAGGGATGGATAAAATATTGACCTATACCAGGGGTGAAAAAAACCTGTTTTTTTCCCTTAAGGCCAATAAGGTCAAACTGACCCAACTTGTCAGGTGAACTGCAGTTTTGAGTGTAACTATGCAACTGAAGGTGGCAAATTCAACTCCAAAATTTTCTTGTAAAAGGAAAACTTACTTACTGCAAACAGTAGCGGATAAAATCTCTCCCTTCTAGTTGAGGCAGTTTTTAAAACATTAGTATCAGAGGAACTTATTTCATGAAGAATGTTTTACTTTTTTCTGATTTTCTTCGATGGAATCTGCCACTGACCATGATTACTCGAACGGATTCTTTTTTTAGTTTTCTTTTTTTTAAATTTTCTTAATAAACTAGAAAAATCTTTACAAAGAAACTTAAAACGGATGTCGATGAAAATTTGTCAAGTAGATCAGAATCAAATGAACATTATTGAACACCGGAGAGTTGTTAACTATGTGGAATGGACTTACGAGGCACTGATGACCTGAGCTCTATCACATAAGAAGCAAGGATTGAAACTAAAACGGTAAAAAAGGCAAATAGAAATTATCAATGCAAAAATTACAAGTGCAAATGTTAAAAAACTGCAGCGGGCTGCGTAACGTTAAGAAACTATTTTAAGAACCCTGAAAAAAGGGAATTGCGCTGAGCACAAATCAAAAAAGGAATTGAACAACTTAAAATCGTAGGAATGGTAAGCCCATCATGGGGCGTTTGATTATGCAAAAAGACTAACGGAACGACTAACGGAAGATACGCTAATGAGGGGGCAAAAATGTCGACATAAAAAATAAACTCCTGCCTCTCATGGACAACTTTTCACACTATCAAGAAGAGTGGCACAAAAAGTTTAACCTTTCCGTTAAGAGGCTAACCACTTTCAAGATCTTCACAGTGCAGCTTCACTTCGTTACAGAAACTGCTCCAACATCATCGTTCTTTTGTGTGAACAATATGGTTTTTGACACCGGCGCAAGAGCTATCCGGCAAGGTATCCAGTATAACGAAAACACTAGCAGCATTGTCATAAACTTCGTGCTTTAATACTATACGAGTCTCCTCATTATGCATGGTTTGTCTCTAAAAGCCCGGTTTTACACGACAATAGTTTTGGACGCGGCACCGTTAAAAGTGGGGGTGAACTTCATGAAATAACGGCAATAAATGCAAAATTAAATAGACAGGCATGTTAGCTATTAATGTTCACGCAAATATGAAACTTGTCCCTTTACTTGGGGACAATGTTTACCAAAGCACTGAGTGAAGAATTTTTCTAAGTATATTTTTTTATTCATCTATTTTAAAGAGAAATTTTGCTCTAATCCAGCTACGCAAGCTAGTACACTTCTTCAATCCAAATCTCCAGAGCCTGCAGGCTGTTCAGTTGGGATTGGCCGGCAGCGATTCCAGGCTAAAGTTGTGGTTCCCCATCGCCACTTCTTTACTGTCTGGCAGGACAGACCGTCTTTGCAGAAGCATCTTGTAAAACCCTGAAAATAGTATCAGCGAGTTTATTTTGAAAAAGGAAATGATCCTCGCATTTCCACTTTTATATCTTTATCCGCAGTCCAAAATATGAGTCATTTCATATATTTCCATTCAGCGAGTTTATTGTTAACCATTTAAGGTGGCCTTGAGAAGCGATACCGTAAAATTCTGTAAATAAGCCCCGGGGCTTATATTTTTCGAAGGCCCTTTTTGAGGAGCTTATTTTTGGAGGGGCTTATCTACGGAGGGAAATTTGCGTTTCAAAATCGATTGGGCTAGCCTTATAGTTGGAAGGAAATTTACCGTTTTTGCTTTGTTTTTCTTTGTATTTGAGGGCAATTTCCAAGTACAAGTCCCCCGGGGGGGCTTATATTTGGAGGGGCTTATACATGGAGGGGCATATTCTCGGAATTTTACGGTATTTACTTTGGCCTGAGAAAAGCTAGACGTGTTTAATCTATCATTGTGATATGGACCTCTTGCTCAGACCTTCATCTTCAAAAAAAAAGAACGTTTTATTTTACTGTTCATTAATACCAGAAAATTGTGATGGTGCGTTCATATAAAGCAATTAAACGTCTTCGTAGAACGCCGCACTTAAGTCATGCCTTTCCACAGATCCTCAATATTTGCTTGCTCAGGTTATTTCATGCCCCAGTGTGATCTTCTTCAGTTCTTAAAAGGCGGGGGAAAGAGGTCGAAGGGGAAGATCTATAGCAGCCTAGGACTCCCAATCTACGCTTTTACAATTTGCATACCACAAGGTTGCACGAGTCATCTATCCCTGGTTTTGACGTACAGAATCCAAAGTAGTTAGGATTGAGACAACAGCGGCCCTCTCCGCATTCTGAATCCTTAGTACATTTCTGAAAAAGGAAACTGACAACTGCATTCGGGCTTTTAGCAATCATCATTATTTCCAATAGGTAATTAATAAACAGAATAAAAATATACCATATATTATAGGCACGGAACCTTGTGCTAATTGGCTACTGGGAGCGCCTAGCTAACTCCTATAAAAGCGGAATTTCCGTTGAATTACAACCTGTATAGTGTAATTATAGCAAGTAACTCTCTTAAAACAGTGCGGTAATGATTTTGTCACATCTTCGAGAAAGTAACCGATTGGTCCTACCATAGAATGACATAAATTGATAACCACTATTCATTCTCTTCCAAGAGTGATCAGTAACCTTTATTTCACTTATTCTTCCATTAGTTTAACACCTTTTTCGGAGACACTTAGGCTGCTAATCGGGGCGGGATAGGACAGTGAATTATTCGGGCGGAATATGGCTGCAGGCAGATTTGACAAGAAAAGAAAGTTAAAAAGGGTCTTCTTCTCTTTAAACAATTTTACGAGTATAGGTTGTGTCGAATTTTTTTTCGCAATACTCTCCTAAAGAAACCTTCCCATCGAAGTTTGCAAAACAGTCGCGGTCATCGATGAATAGATTAAACCTGCGTTATTATGGAGAATATCTCTGTTAAAGACATAAGAATAAAGAGATTTTTCATAAAATTTATGTTCAGCCGGACAGTTTGATTCAGTTGAAGGACATTCTTGCATACAAGAATTTTCGTTGAGCAGATTTTTTCTCGATTTCTTAAAAAATAAGGCCGTAATTAACGTATTGCATTTGAAAACAAGGAATGACCAAGCTTGGCTTGAACAAAAGGATCTTTACACTATATTTTTCTTACATGTTATATTTCAGGCACAATTTTTCAAGCTAATTTTGTTCCAATGTTTGAGATGAATATTTGATTTTTAATCTCTACAAAGGTTACCTGTGGCCAAAACCATCTCTTCTCTCGCAGGCTTTGTTCATCTGGCAGTCTATGGGTAAATGTGACGACCAATAGGCCAAGTAGAAAAAACGAGGCAAACAGCTTCATTTTTGCCGTCAGAGCGGAACTATTCTTGTGTTAGTGTCTCACGTTTATGCTTATTAAAGCGTGATTACCCAACAATTTCCATGTTCATCGCTGTTGACATGCTTGGAACAAAGTTAAACATTTCAGCTCTGGCTTTGATGAGGCGTATCATGATCGCGTTTGCAAACAACTCTCTTAACAATGAAAATAATAGCTGACAGTGAAAGTGTGATATTTCAGCTTTATTATTTTTATCTGTTTATTATGAACAAGAGCAGATTTCCTTTTATTAAAAACTAAGCTAAGTTGGAAATGATGCAAAATAATGTTACGTCAAAGACGACTACTTTGAGACAACGCTTTAATTTTGCTTTTTGTCATTTTCACGTCTTCATACTAGAACCCACGCACAGAAATGATAAAAATACAAAAACCAAAATCCTTTCTAGCTGTTTCAACACTTTCGTATCATTTCTGTTGTACTTTATAAATCCAGTTTACTTTTTAAAGTTAATGATTTAAAACAAAGGAGTACAATAACTGCAACAGGGACCAAAATACTCCTGATTTATAATTGAGTTCCATTATAATTTGCTATGAAAAACTGCGGCCTCAGGAAACACCTTTGTCCTTTACTTCAGTTTCGTTTACTTAAATCAATCTGAAAAGTAACTGATTAAGAAAATGACAAAAACTACAGAGACAAAAGAAGGTTCAAAAGGACAATATGCTTGCTCAAAGAATCCAAGAAGGAAGCTAAGCGTCAGTGAAGCGTATTTTTAATTCAGCTGGTAACTGTTTCAATATGTATTATTCTGACTATTTCTTTTCAAGAGAAAACTTATTCTGCATTTTCAATGATAACGCATTATGTAGAAAAAACAACAACAACAACAACAACAACAACAGGAAAAAACACTTAACTCAGTGCTTTGTTTATATGAAGTACATGTACAGTAAGGTCTACATTAACTGGACACCCATGGATTGCGGGCATGTCAGCTAGATAAAGGGGAAAAAAGGGCAAAGGTTCGTTCATGCACGTCTGATTAGTACAGGATATCCGCTTAATTTTGGCTCTTCTTAATATAAGTTATATTTCATTTCATTGTTATGAATATTGTCATTCAGTCAAACTAAGCGGCACCCCAGCAGCAAACATCCCAAATGACCTAGGGATAGTATAATGTCCTTTCACGACATTACGACAGACTGAGTCCCTTCTCAAATGAGGGCAATGTGCAGATCTCAGTTTGGTCTTAAAACCTGCAGGGAACGTGTGGCGGTGATACGAGGGGAGAAGGGGGTGGTTGGGGGTTCTTCAGTCTAGCACTACCAATGCATTCTTAGCCTCACCTATCCCGGCATTATTCAGAAGTTCAAACAATTCAAGAATTTTGTGCTGTTTGTATCTCACTCGTTCCCGATATTCCCCTGGTATATAATTATCTATTCCGTCGTCGCGTGTCAACTTTCTTGCGAGTAGCCTCAGCCACAAGTTGAGACAAGTTGCTCGGCAACTTTTTGGCACCTTTTGCTATTTGGAGCACCTTTCTGGCACCTTTTGACATTTGGAGCAACTTTTGATTTTCAGAGCAACTCGATTAAATTTTATTAGCAACTTATAGGATTTACAAAGACTCTAATACTGCTTGAGACTAGAAAGAAAATTTCAGTGTTTTGATGTTATATCATAACATTTAACAACGGGGAAATTCAATTGGAAGCGCCACCTACACCACCTTTTTAGTGGACTACCCGCCGTTTGAGGTCAATTCGGAAATAGAACCACGTTTTTCAAAATGGCGACTAACACCTGACTTCTCCACCTTGAATAAAAACGATCCAATCAGAACAGGAGAATGCACGTCCGCAATGAAACCCAAAGAAAAAAAAAATCTTGGTCTGAGAACGTTCTGTCAACGTTCTATTGTAGGAAAACAAATGACATTACAAGCTTGTTGAACATTTAAAAGTTACCTGCTGTGGATTGGATGCTCTTTAAAAGCGAAGAGCGAAGAAGGCGGCACTTCACCAGCGGCAGTGAGGCAAAAAAGTGGATGTCATTTTTCTCAAAAATGGCTTTCATTATGATGTTACATTAGGAGCAACTTCCTAGCAGCTTTTTAAAAAAGCGGAGCAATTTCGGGCAACTTTTAAGAGAATTTGGAACAACTTGTGGCTGAGGCTACTTGCTCGGTCGAAAAATGAGGGAATACTCGTTGTCTGCGTAATAAGGATAAAACTTAAGAGACTTTATTTTGGAGTGTGACACAAAGAACGATGAATAGAATACTAAAAAGATAGATTTCCCCTTCTTTTCCCCTAATGCATGCGTTGCCCCATAGTTCTCAAGTCAACAAGAAACACATTAAGAGAAGAAAATGCATCTAAAAATGTACACGGGGGCTTTACCTGGCTGCTAGCTCTTCAAATGAACGCTTTGCCTGGCGCAAGGAAAAATTGATATAAACCGGTATAAATGACGCAAATTACACCTCCTTTCTTGACAGAGGTGGCCGCATAATAACTTAGATTCTTGAAACTAACCGGGTTTGATTCGCGGGCCGTCAAGTCTATAAAGGCATCTGCTGAAGCTCAATATTGTGAGGACTTGTTAAAGAGTCCGAAAAAAGAGGGTATGTAATTTTGATAAAAAGAATTGACACTGTCAACTATTTTTCAAATAAGTTTTTTACTGGCTAGTGCCGCTTTAATAGTCAGTCGATCATATATCTCCAGAGCCTGGTTCCTCTGTAGGAATTGGACGACAGCGATGATAGACGTTAAGGGATCCTATCTGATAGACAGGCTGACATGACAAACCGGATTTGCAGCCGCATTTATGAAGACCCTAGACATAAAAATATATATGAGTCAGTGATGACCAATCCCTGTTATAAGAAGCAAGGAGCAAGGACGAAAATAATAACAACAACAAACTAATCTCAAATTTCAGCGTCGATAACCGGATTGACAAAACGGCGAGAGGAACCGACGAGCCAGGGCATTGGTTCCCTTCTGAAATCACTTCTTTGACCAAAACAAAAGTTTACTTATCAGTAATAAACAGATGTAATTCCTCTATGCCCTCACTTGTGTTTAATAAACCAATTGTGTACTTGGTGTCCATGAAGCACGTCCTTCAATATTCATTTTATAGCGCTTTATCAAAAAGGTGGGAAACAACGTAGCCCAGCCTGCCGCCGTCATATGTGGGTTCAGTTTACGTGAGTTTGATGTTGGTTCTCTCCTTTGCTCCGAGACGTTTTTTCTTCGGGTACTCCGGTTTCTCCCTCTCCTCAAAAACCAACATTTCCAAATTCAATTTGGTCTGGAATGGTATAGACGAAGAACCACTTTGTGGGTTTGCTATCTCTAAATCGTCCATCATTGCTCTATTTTATTTATTTAATTGATAACGCAAAAGTTGGAACATACACCTGTCATTCATAGAAAATACCAATTATAGGTATTCTCTTTAAAATACTTATCAATTTCCTGCCCGATAACATAATTTTCACTTACAACAAAGTTACAAGATTGGTCCAGGCCTCTCTTGTCATGACAAGTCTCAAATACACTGCAGCAGCGCTCCGCACCACAATCCGAATCCACCTGACATTGCTGTAATATAGTGAAATAAAATGGATTCGTTCTTTTCGCTTATCCTAAACTTACAAAAAGTTCAATTTTTTTTGCTGTTACTATAAAATACTAAGCGTACTGTAATCACAAAAAAATACCATTTTATATTACAGTGGAACCCCGCCTTACGACCACCCCGTTTTCACGACTACCTCGTTATTACGTCCATATTCTTTCAACCCACTGAGCCATTTTATTATTTTGAAGACCCCGTTCAAGCGACCACAGGATGTTATGGCCCCACAGTGGCCGCGTTAACGGGGTTCCACTGCAGTTTGATACTTACTCCAAATAAAAATCGCTTTTCTCTGTTGCGATTATCAGCGATCTTGTTGGCAAATGTGGCAGATATGAGTCCAAAGAGTAATAGAAGGCCCAATTTCTTCATCATTGTTCTCCAGATTAAGCTTGTATTTTACGACGAGATAAGAAATAAATTGGTGTGGAATCAGTGATCATGTTATATATTTAGCAGAAAATTGTGTAACGTATAAATTGAATTATTCAGCTGTAAAGGTATTGACTCAGTAACAAAAGCAAAATAAGGTCCGCTTTTGTAAGCAACTCAGCAAAAATGTCCTTTTCCATGGAAACTGGTCCTTACATTGGATTAAACCAAAGGTGTATTTGCTTCGAGTATTCAAGTTTTTCACATTCATGTTTATCACTGGAAGAACATTTATATGAGACGGTGGACAGCAGAAAGCTGACAAACAAATCGACCTACTTTTCTTACTTATAGACAATAAAAGAGTGAAACCCTCTGAACTTTTTTCCAGAACACCACTGATGTATGAGAATTTTTAGGGATATAGATGACTTGAAGAATAAACTGGATACAGGTCCTGTACATTAAATTCAGTGGTAGTTAAAGATGAAAATACTATCCGACAGCAACCGAGCTTACTTTAGGGAACGAGGTGTAAATCAGCTGACATTTGTTTCAATATTTTTTGTCTTATTTCTTTTCACGTCGCAAATCTAATTTACTCTGAGAAGAACACCTGATTGAAACGTCACAAACCTCTTTTTAATCAATACGTTTTGGTCAACATTGAACAAAGGTATTCAGTGTGCGCAAAATAATAAAAAAAGAACCATTGTACCTCCGTACTAGGTTTTAGGGCTAGTATCCGATTCTCAGTTTAAACATTTCACGAATTTTTTCAGTTGCCTTTTTGTCGCTTATTACTTATTCCACTTGCTCTTACTGAAAGTTCCTTCCGCGGTGAAGGCCAATTCTTGGAGATCCAGCCGCCAGGCAAGGACAGCTTATCGGGCGGACAGGCTGTTTATGGGAGTAATCATTAGAGAAAAAGCTTACTCGAAAAGCATAATGCTTGAGGTTTTAAACTCATCTTTTTAGCTTTATCTGCCATTAAAGTATTTAATCAAATAGCAAGTCTCGAAAAGCTGTTCTTCCGTCTTTCAGGGTAGCGAATACCTTATGAAAACAGACATTGTTTTTTCAAGATTTGATGTATTATATGGGTGTCTTTTTTTTCTTCTTAATACTTATAGACGACGATTTTAATCGGCTGCACTCATTTAATGATAACATTTTCGCCCATTTCTTCTTGCCTCATCTTCACGATCGTCATCACAGAGTGCATTCAGGAATACAAATTTTCTTCACATGTCAAATACATAATGAACCAGGCAAACAAAAATTAAGGCAATAATCAAACAGTACTTTCCTGAATTCTCGACAAATTTTATCTTCTAGTATAGGAGAACGACTTTTTGTAAAGAGGAAGGACAGACTGGTGAGTAGAAATAGACGCTAAATCAACAAGAACCACATATTACTGCGTCTGACTGCTGGCGCCTGTATGATGGTGATAAGGGTTCGGCGCTTTTTTCGTTTCCAATTAAAAACGTTATGGTCTTTGATAAGAGATTATTCATTTATTTAGTGCTAGTTCTTATCGCCACTAACACAAGCGATGGAGGGAGCAAAGGTATCGAACCTAATTCCTTTTATCTCAAGAAAAATTCGCGAATCTCTATTCATCACTCTTTTGGATAGGGACACTCAATTCAAGCTCTTCAAAATAGATGTAACTTATTTAATAAATTTCCTAATCTTGGCAAATAATTACGCCACGTAGGGCAACAATTTAAACTACAAATTTTGTTTTCTTTGTAAAATAATTATTGCGTCTAGTTTTTTTTTTATTTTTCTTTCTTGTCCACTTCACCTCCTGCCAGGATTAGCTTAAGCTAACTGCAGGTTACGTGAAATATATTTTTTTCCTTTTCAGTCTGCTTTAATACATTACTTTTTAACTTGTTAACTCAGTTGTTGTTGTTGTTGCTGTCGTTTCTTAGCTCTAAACGTGTTAGGATGATTAATAATGGTAATAGTACTGGGTGGCCGGTCTAGTCTAATCAAGATTGTGATTAAATAAAAATTACGATTACTTCAAGCGCGTGTATTATTGCAGGCAAAATCAGGGCTTATTATGGCCAATCAGGTTAGAGTATTTTGCTATATAGTTGTGTTTCTTATTTTAAATCTGATATATTCAATTAAAACACGGTTCGGCTAAAAGAAGAGTATTTGGCCATCGCTTAGGTTCTAGTGAATACCCACCCACCTAGCCCATTCACACTAACATAGTATGACTGAGCAAAAGCGAATGTTTTACGACTACAATATCCTTTTGACTATTGTGTGCATAATTGCCATCTATCCGTCTGATAACAAATTTAACGCCCAGAATACTATGTGTCCTTTTTCAACGCAAAAGGGTACAAAGCCTTAATAAGTATCATTTGCGGCTGTAAGGCTTAGTGCGCCTTTTACGCTTTGCTTTGGGTCGTTCATTAAGGCAGCAAAAACATACACGGCTTAGTAGTTGCCAATATGATCATGTTTACCTTTTTCGCACTTTCTAGTTGCCGTTATGCGGAAAAGTAAAAATGGCGCTTAAAACTTTTTATGAAAAGTGGATTTCACATTCTTGTTGACTAAAGAAAACCTCAATCTCTTTTTAACTTGCTTTTAACTTTACTTTAAATTCTTTATTAAAATTTTTGCAATTCATGTCACATTAAACGTTAGTATCATTTGCAGCCTTATTTGTACAGCGATAAAACTTCTCAGAGTTTCCAAAATCCCTGTATAACTTGCAGACCAGTTCAGGAGCACAATCACACGTTGACTGCAAAACAAGAGAAAAGATTATCCATTTTCCTTTGCTAACTTTACTGTTGCCTTTTTCCTCACATGCAGTAAAATCAATACTACAATATTGTTTGTTCAACTTTTATTGAACGTGATAGTGGAGCTCCACGCGCAAAGCAAGCAGCTAAGCACCATGGGTAATAAAAACTGGTAACCTACCAATGGGAAACATTTTCCGCGCCGTGACGGGGCAATTTCACTCTGCAGGGAAGATCGGTGGTACAAAAAGAATCTGTCGCGCGTGGGCAAGAGTCATTATCCAAGGGAATATATGGTTAGTGTAACAGCAGCTTATTTAACTTGAATGTTGTTTGGAGTAAACATTTCTATGTGTTTCCTTGCAAATGAATGGTCAGCTTTTTTCGCTAGCTCCCCTTTTAGGCTAGGCTCATTTTGTCACTTCTGTTTGTTAAGGCTCAAATAGTTGTCAGGTTTTTAGGTATTGTGGCAGTTCTCACTTGAGAATCCTCCAATAAAATTCAAACCAATAACTGCTAATAAACTGGACACAAAACAAAATGCAGATTTTGACGGAAGTGAGTTGCCTGCTGAGGACCTGATTTGAAACATGTGATCATTCATGTTGCTAAAATCACTGATTATTGGCGATGATGTGGGTGACATACCTTGATTGAACAGGGCTGGTTCTTCTTAGGTTTTGCGTAACAAAAGCTCAGGAGCCTGTCTATGTTACAGCATTCATCCTCTTGGCAATCCGCATGGGAATTACACATCTAAAAGACAATTCTGTGTAAAATAATCATACCTTTTTCCCCGCCCATTCTTATTCGGCTTCGGCCATGATTTTTGATCAAACAAATTACATGGTTAACATAGTTATTGGAAAAGTGTCTTATCAGTGCATAACTATGATTCATTCGTTTTGACTATCAGAAGCTGTCACGCTTCTTGGCGTAGTGTTGTTGCAGTAAGAAAACTTCAAACAAAAAGGCGATTTAAACTTCGCATTGCGAATTCGTCAACTGAGTGTTTCATAGCAACTAAAGCATTTATAAGAAAAGGTCTCAAAGTAGAAAACAATTCTAAGGACTAAGGTGTTAAGACTAAAATCAAGTGAAGCATTTGAAAGCGCGATGGTCAGTGTCACACCGCTTTAGAACTATACAGCAAGAAACACTCACATATAATGCTTGCCACAAGTAATTTAAGAATTGCTATCTGGCTGTTAAAACGAAGCGACCAGAGGCAAAAAGTCGAACCCAGTTAATACGAACGGGATTGGGATTGGCATTGTGAAAGTCTTCTCACGTAAACTATGTCTCTATGATGACAAAGAGTGTGTTGGAGTCAGCCATATCACTCTGCTGATTATGATCATTTACGAACTTTAAGCGACTTCAAAGCCAAATTTGTACTGGTAGTCTCCAGATTGACTGCTTTATTTGTTCGCAACAAGCATTCAACTGGTCGAATTGAAAGAACATAACCTTTGGTCGTCCTTTGTCGTAATAACAGCCGGGTAGTCGGATTAACCATGACGTGACCGACGTTGCTCGGGCTAGGAAAAAGGTAGTCTTAATAAGTAGGTATTCGTCCCCACAGGGTGGTCCGGCGTATGATGGTGTACCTATCGTAATTGATTAAGGAAATTTCACAGCAGAAAAGAAAATGGCAGACATTGATCTGTTGCGCTTCGCTCTGTTGCAGATTTCTCGGATCCCACAGAGATTTGGTTTCCAATTTCGAATGTGGCTATTCCTGGTTGCATTAATACTATGCCGAGCGCACTTGCACAAAGTGCGCGTTGATTTTAATGATGGGACATGCACATACTTACTGAACAAAGAAAATACCTACCTGAAGTTGGGCAAAGCTGTTATCTTCTTCATAATTCATAAGTCCCTCATCCATAGTATCCAGAAGCACTCGGCCTCTTGCTAAGATAAAGTATGCCAGGAGGGAAAACAGAATTTGCTTCATCTTCTGTCTCTTTTGTACATCAACCCGGACTAAATCCAGCAGGTGCATTAAAGCACCTATAAATGTTAGTAGTTTTATTATAATGCTGCCTTCGGTTTAAATATGCCTCCCAAAAACTAAATATTTATCGTTCTTGGTGTCCAATTAAGAACATTCGACTTTCAACTGATTTGTTAAGAGACAGACTAGTAAAGATTTCGAAACAGTAATGCTTTAAGATTATAATATTATATCATTCCGTTTGATTAGTTAGTTTTTCATAGGACAGACTCATTGGTGTGCTTTTCATTCTTTATGATCAAGAAAATTATTTGTTTGTAAAGCGATAGGAGATTACAAACAGATTTCACCATATATCAATGCCACTTAGTTAAGCCTTCAATGTTTTTTTAAAAAAATTTTCTAAATTCCCCTTTTAATTCAAATACCTGAACTTCAGCATGGAAACTGAACTTTGCAATTGCCAAAGGAATGATTAAGACAATAATCGTAAAATTTTGAAATTTCATGTTTCTCGGATGTCAAAATGATTATTTGTTTGATACAAAAAATTTACATGTTAGATTAGTGCTATTTATATTAGTCAGCTCACAAAGAACCCAACTTAAAATTGTGTTTGATAAAGGAAAACACTGAGGTCACCATATTTCCTGTGACACATGGTAAAATGATGATTGCATATTGCGCACCTGCAGCAAATATTAAACACTTAAGTATTACTGGCCCCCTAGGGAAATAGTCAATTTTGTTTCCAGAGAATCTCAAAAGCATTGAGATTCGAGGGAAACAAAGTTAACTGTTTCCCGAGGGACCAGTCTTTAAGAGATTTGTTTTACAGCTGGAAATTCATTAAACCTCGCTGTAACGTTGTCTAGTCCCTAGGCCATATTATTCCGCGCGGCCAATTTATTTTCGGGTCACGTGGTCCAGACTAAGACCTAGACAAAAAGCCTCAAAAGTGAGGCAAAAGTGAGACATCCCGTGCTGTGGGTTACAAGACCAAAGTTTAGCATTTCAAGGTTAAAAATAGTCAGTCAGCCAGTTAGTGTTACGTGATTTGCTTTTAATGATTTATGGGTTTCTAAATAAAATTTTTCGAGAAATAATTTCTCTGTCTGTATTTGTATGTTCTTTCATTGAAAGATGTACACGAAATAAATCATATAAGGACTATGGAAATGAAATCAATTGAAGAAGGATCCTCGCAGTTGTGAACTCAATTTATGCAATTGCGTAAAAAGCCTGAAAAAAAATTCAGGAGCTTCAACGGGATTTGAACCTGTAACCTGGTGATACCTGTGCGATACTCTAACCAACTGAGCTATGAGGCCACTGATGTCGGAAGCTGGTCAATGATGTGTTTATATGTTGTCACGGAGTTTTGTGTTACTTTTCGCGCGTGACATTTTTTGACCTTAGATGTAGCCGATCACGTTTCGTACACGTGATCATGTGACACTTTGAACGGAGTAGTTTTGCGATTTAGAGAATTGTAATTTTGTTGAAGGCACGTGTATCGGTTTAGAAGCCCGTTACTTTTGTGGAACCCTATCGTTTTTGGCAAGTGTATCGGAATAGAAGCCCGTTACTGTAGAGATCTATTGGTTTCGAATAAAATCTATCACATTTGGTCCCAAGAGCCGGATTTGGAGTCAGAACTAGCTGAATTATGCCTGGAAAACTAGCGAAGAACCTGAAAATACGTGCGGCGCATCGCTTACACGCAAGGAAAATTCTTTCATCAGTCGATGAACTTCTCATGGATTACGATGGGTCTGATACCACTAAAGACAAGATAAAACGGATAACTATTACGCTCAATGAAAAATTAGCGACCTTAAAGACCTTGGACGAATCGATTTTGGCCGCAATCGACGAAGGAAATTTAGAACCGGAGATAGAGGAATCTGAAGAGTTTCGCGCGCGAATTCATGGCGCCCTTGTCAAGTTACAGAAATGTGAAAATTCTCATGGCAAACAAGAATCGCCTCAAGGAAGTCAAGGTGGGTCTGTTCCATCTAGTTCTAGTAACGGTGCGAAGCTACCAAAACTTCACATAAAAAGATTTGCTGGCGACCCAAAAAACTGGCAAACATTTTGGGATTCGTTCTCGTCTGCGGTGCATAAGAACGCTTCGCTAACTAATGTTGACAAGTTTAATTATCTGCGAAGTCTATTAGATGGCCCAGCTCTAAATTCTATCACTGGATTACCATTAACTGAACTGAACTATAAGGAGGCTATTGAAATCTTAACCGATAGATTTGGAAACAAGCAGATAATTATTAGCTCTCACATGGAGGCCTTACTCAAATTACAGCCTGTGAATGCCATGTCTAACGTTAAGGGAATCCGAGCTGTTCTCGATAATTTGGAAATTCAGGTTAGAGGTTTACAAGCACTGGGAATTGATTCTGCACAGTATGGAGCTCTTTTGATTCCTATATTCATGGAGAAGTTGCCCGAAGAATTGCGATTGATTGTCAGCAGGGAACATAAGGATAACTGGGAGCTAACTTCTGTAATAAAAGCTGTCAAAAATGAAGTGGAGGCCCGTGAAAGGTGTGGTATGAATACATCTGTGGAGAAAAAATCCCCATTAAAGAAATCGTTTAACCCTGGCAATGAATCAACTGCGAGTGCATTGTTGAGCGGAAATCGTGGGGAGTTAAACTGTTTGTTTTGCAAAGGAAATCACCGAGCGTCTGAGTGCCAAGTTGTAACAAATATTGATGAAAGAAGAGAAATTTTGAAGAAACAAGGGAGGTGTTTCAATTGCCTGCGCCGTGGGGGGCACCTAGCCCGTAACCGTGACACCAAAATTCAGTGCTTCAAGTGTAGTGGTCGTCACCATTTGGCAGTTTGTAATAGTGGTATGGCAGACAGCAGTAATATTCCTGCTGGGGCAACAGCCTCACCTGCATTGCATATTGGTTCTGGGATGCATGTTTTCTTACAAACTGCTCAAGTAAATGTCTCAATCCCGGGGAAGGAACTCTCTCATAGTCTCACTGTACGTGCAATTTTTGATACTGGAGCCCAGCGATCGTATATCAACCAAAAGGTAGTAAATACCTTGAAATTGAAAACTGTCAGGACAGAGAGACTGAAAATTGCAACATTTGGGGATCAGAACCAAGAGCTGGAAGCTGTCAACCTGGTCGAACTTTCTTTAACCAAATCAGGAACAGACTTTAAAACAACATTGAATGCATTTGCAGTCCCTCACATTTGTAATGATTTACAAGGTCAAGATTTGGAATGGGTTAAAGAAAGATATCCCAGCTTAAAAAACATTGAATTTGCTGATGTGTGCCCTGCCAGCAATACAATGCAGATTGATTTGTTGATTGGTTCAGATTATATCTGGGATTTCTTTGATGGCAAGTCAGTAAGGGGGGAGGAGTCAGGTCAGGGTGGACCTGTGGCTGTTTCTACCAAGTTTGGATGGGTGTTGTCGGGTCCGGTGGAAAATCTCCCGAGGGAGAAACTTTCAAGTATTCAGTTTTCGTCGACTCACGTGTTGAGGACGGAGTCAAGGGTTGTTGATGATACGCTGCAAGGGGATTTGGATAGATTGTGGGATCTGGATTCTGTCGGCATTCGAGATAAGGATACTGTTCTTGAAGCCTTTGAAAAGAATTTGAGTTTTGAAGATGGCAAGTATCTGGTCCATCTACCTTGGAAGGAGCAACATGGGCTGTTGCCAGATAATTTTGAGAACTGTGTAGCAAGATTGAGCTCGCAGCTTAAACGTCTTAGAAAGGATCCAGAGATCTTGAAAGAATATGACTCCATCATACAAGATCAGTTGCAGAGTGGTATAATTGAGCAAGTAGACTGTGCCAAGCGTCCTGATGTTGGAAGGGTGCATTATTTACCGCATCATGGGGTGGTACGCCGGGATGCCCTTACAACCAAACTTCGTGTTGTTTTTGATGCGTCGTCAAGGCCCAGCAGTGATAGTCCAAGTCTTAACGAATGTCTTTACTCAGGACCAGCCTTAACTCCAACAATCTTCAATGTTCTCCTCCGGTTTAGAGAGAAAAGAATTGCACTTGTAGGAGACATTGAAAAAGCCTTTCTCAATGTGGGAGTTGCTGAAGAAGATCGTGATGTCCTGCGATTCCTCTGGGTGGACAGTTTAGAAGAAGAGAATCCCGGATTGATGTTATATAGGTTTTGTCGTGTGGTGTTTGGAGTCAATGCTAGCCCTTTTCTTTTGAATGCCACTTTGAAGTATCATATCAGTCAATATGAGGCTGACCCTGGTTTGGTTCAGAACTTGTTGAATTCATTTTATGTGGATGATTTGGTGACAGGAGAAAGGGGTGTTGAGGAGTGTCTGTCGCTTTATCAGAAGTCTAAGAAGTGCCTATTGGAAGGTGGATTTAACTTGCGAAAGTGGATTTCAAATTCACCTAAATTGCTTGAATTGATTTGTGAGGACCAAGTTGGAACTGTCGGAACTTGTGCTGTAGTGGAGGATACAGAGTCTTATGCGAAAACTACTGTCAATCATTTGGAGAAGCTTGATATGAAGGATGAACACAAGGTACTTGGTGTCAATTGGAACTGTGTTACTGATGAGTTCATTTTTAAATTTGAAGCCTTACTGAGACTTTCAGAAGACTTGGAGCCGACCAGGAGAAACTTGTTAAAGGTTACTTCAAGTTTCTTTGACCCCCTTGGAGTACTCAGTCCAATACTGGTGGAAATGAAGATTTTGTTTCAGTCTCTTTGCCAGGAGAAGTTTGAATGGGATGCGCCACTCCCGGAGTCTGCCCGGAAGCAGTGGAACAGGTGGCTTCAGGACTTGAGAGAGGTGCAGCAAGTGTTAGTACCAAGGTGTGTGTATGCTGGATTAGAGGAAGGTGTTACGTCGTATGTTATTCATGGGTTTGGGGACGCTTCAGAAAAGGCTTATTGTGCTGTTGTTTACTTGGTTCTTGAAGTGAGTGGTGATTTTTTTCCAGTTTTGTTGTCATCCAAAACCAGAGTGGCACCGCTGACAAGGCAGTCTATCCCTAGACTCGAATTACTGTCTGGGGTCATCTTAGCAAGATTGGTGTCCTCAGTTAAAGAAGCCTTGGCGTCACAGATTACAATTGACAAGACACACTTGTGGCTAGACAGCAAGACTGCAATCTGCTGGATAAAGGGTTCGAAGGAGTGGAAGCAGTTTGTGCAAAATCGTGTGAATGAAATCTTGTCTTTGACCGAAGAGAGCATGTGGAACCATTGTCCTGGCATTGAGAACCCAGCGGA